GCTGGTTCAGTGGTTTTGACTCTCAGCCTGGGAACAGTGCTGATAACACCGATGTTTTTAGTTGCTGCTCAGTAATGTTTACTCTGACCAAGGACTTTCTGAGTCTCATGCTCTGCCAGGGAGGAGAGGAAGCCAGGAGGAAGCAGAGACAGGACACCTGACCCAGGCTAGCCAAAGAGGTATTCCATACCACAGCACGTCATGCCCAGTATATAAACTGGGGGCAGTTACCTGGAAGGGTTAGATCACTGATCAGGTCAGGCTGGGTATGGGTCGGTGGGTGGTGAGCAGTTGTATTTCTCTTCCCTTGTTATTTCCCTTATCATTATTGTTACTGGTGGTAGCAGTAGTGATTTGTGTTATACCTTAGTTACTCGACTGTTCTTATCTCAACCCATGGGAGTTAAATCTTCGATTCTCTTCCCTGTCCCTCTGGGAGCGTGGGGAAGGGGGGGGAGTGAGTGAGCAGCTGTGCGGTTCTGAGTTACCAGCCAGGCTTAAACCACAACACCTGACATTGAGAACACCAGAACTGTACACAAGCTCCAAGTGAGGTCTCACAAGAGCAGAGCAGAGGGGCAGGATCACCTCCTTCGACCTGCTGGTCTCCCTCCTTTTGATGCAGCCCAGGATACAGTTGGCTTTCTGGGCTGTGAGCGCACACTGCAGGCTCATGTTAAGTTTCTCATCCACCAACACCCCCAAATCCTTCTCTGCAAGGCTGCTCTGAATCTTTGCTACTGTTGTGCCCATGTGTCCCTTTGCCTTTAACCACGGAGAGCATAATTTTGTTTTCTGCAGCTCAAGATTTTTCTGCTCAGCAAGTGAGATGGTTGGCACAAGCCCTGACCATAAAACCAAATTTTAAAAACTAGGCTGAGTCCAGTCCTTCCTCTAAGGCCAGCAATGGCTTGTTGAAGCATCCATGTCACTGGTCATACAGACTGTTTGCATGTAAAACAGACAGTGCTATGCACAAACCTAGGGAGGGCAAAAGCAGGAATGACTTTAGTGCTGTACATGCACATTGTGTATTACATACACAGGAAGCGTTGCAGTTGCTACAGGCTCCATACAGAATGATGCAGCCGTGATAGCTAATACCTTAGGAGGCTGTGTCTTCTCCAGGCTCAACCCCTTCAGTAGCAGCATCATTTTTATACATCCACACATTTATAAAAAGTGGATATTGGAAGAACTACTCTTCTCCTTGTGCAAGTGATTTGATAGAGCCTAAATGAGGCCTTGCAGGAGTTAAACAGCACCAGAACACCAGACAGTTCAAGTGGGAATGAAGAAAAGTCATTACAGATTTAACCAACTGTGTAAAACCCCCAAAGCTTAGAATTAAAATCTTTTAAAAAGCCTTGGCTGGACTCACTGAGTCATCAAAATTTAAAGGCAGAATTATTCCAAAGGAGATGTTAACCAGACATTTAACTCAATGATGGAGAAAGAAGAGGAGCAAGGGAGGATTTTAAAAAGAAAAAAGTCCCTTCAAAGCCACTGATATACTTGGGCTGGTCAAGCTACTTATGGCAGCACTTCTGAGTGGCTGTAAATCCCACATTTAATCTGCACTGTGCAGTATGAGGCAAATACACAACTGGAAATGGTAGGGAAGTTGCTGCAAAAGGTGCTGGGTCACTCACATAGTCCCATTCCAAGCAGCTCGCCTCTCAAGGGCTTGCATCTAGCACGCCTGAGAGTGGTCCTGTGAGCTCTTTAATCCAAGGACCAAAGGCAGCAGCAGACATTCAAGGTCTGTCTGGGATTTGTGTTTCCTATGTTGTACCCACAGCTGCATCCAGAAATCACAGCAACCAGCAGGAGCAGTTTGCGATTGCAACTCTGGATACCAGCTTTCATCAATTCCTGACCCCTTCCCTCCCCCTGCCCCTTCATACTCTTCAGCTTAATAAACGTAAAGACTATTGCATTTCAGTGCTGGGACTTCCTCCTTGAGATTCAGAAACAGTTTAGTGAGAAACAGAGATACAGACAGCCCCAATTTTATCACATGAAAAGTCTCCATAAGAAAGTGGTTTGGGCATCCTGATTCATATTGAAAAGCTGGGGTCTAGTCCTTTCTTTTTCTAGCTGTTTTAATATGATCACATATAATTGAGCAGAAAATTGCACTTTTTTTCCCCTTAGGTTTCTTAATGGACACGAAGCCCTACAGGTTTCCATTCTGCTGATGGAGGTGAAAATGGTGCAAGCCTGGGGCTCTTCTCCTGAGGACTGCTCCTTTTATAAGCCAAACAAAGCTGGTCAGCACTCCTTCAGCTGCATCACCTTATGTCAGAAAATGTTGATTTAACAGAATCATAAAGTTTTGTAGAGCTTCACTAACTTTGCTGAGAATATTTGTAATAAAAATGTTATGGTTTAGTGTTTTGGGTTTGATAGTACAGTTTTCACTCCACAATAGCATCATGTAATTAAAAGCAGGAAACAGATGTTTATAATAAAGTGGAAAAGTTAAAACAGGAAAATACAGAAAATACGAGTTCTGCGTCTGGCAGAATAATATTTTGCATCAGCTCATTGAGACTGCATTTTAACTTTTCATCTCAATTTGCTTTTAAAGCAAGTTTGGAAGTCTCAGGCTAGCGCAGAGGCATCAAATCAAACTTTTGTGTCAACTTCAATCCACATTCATCCCTGTATCACATTCATCATCCAAAATTTATTTGACCATGAAAATAATGACAGAGGAAAACACTATTTTTTACTTTTGCCCAGACTTCCAGAATTAACAGGCAATTCCTGTGGATTGAGAAATCTGCAATGCCTGTGAAGGGACTTGGAAAATACACACAGAGGTCTCCAAGTCTGCTGCTATGGCCTCTTCATATAGTTCAAGTTCTCTGGATTGCAAGTAACGCAGTTGTAGATCCCGTGAAAAGCACACATAAGATAATATTGCTTATAAAGAGTTTAAGCATCAAAATTAATCACTATCAAGTAACAGACCACAGGAAGGGCCTTGAAGAGAGGAAGTCCACAGTACAGTGTAGTTTCAGACAGAGATCACCTTTCCGGCTGTCTCACACACACATGAGGAAACCATTTGTTTATACATTACTATTGTTTATGATAAATGGAGTGTGCTGTAAACCCAAGGCCGGAAGAAGCTGTGCAGCTGGAATAAGATGCTCCTCAGATGGTTGCTCTGGGGCGACTGAAATGTTTTTGCAGAGCTAATTCCCTCATAAATTGGTTTTATTCTCCTGGCTGAGGCTAATGTCTTCTTTTAAAGTTAATAAAAAGAACTCAATTTGCTGATTGTTCTGGACTGGTACTAGCAAAAAGAGTTGCTTAGGGACTCTGGAGGGGCCCAGACAATTCCTCAAAGCCTGTGCAGCTTGGATGCTAAGTAGTGACAAGCAAGGTGTTCCCTGCCTGGTATTTAATCTACTTTCCAGCATGCTGTCACATTAGGTGTCTTGGGTAACCCCATAAATGTCTGAGGGGGAGAGATTACAATTGACAGCCTCCTGTAGCAGACCCCAGGGCTTGGGGATTGAGAGAACACAATACACATTTATGCCAAAAGAACATGTTATCAGCAGGCATGATATGAGCTACAACATCACAATGGCACTCAAAACCCAGCCTCACCTAGCACAGCTTGATGCATAGTATCATGGCCTCCTTGTACCCACCCATCCCATGGGTGGGTACCATCAGTTAACTAGCACATCAGTTAAAAGTGCATCCCTCTGGTGAGCAAAGCCTGGGCAACCCTGCAAAGGTTTGCCAAATGAGGCCCACAGAGTTACATATAAAACTGATGCTCGTTGACAAAACCCATGCACAGGCAGGTATTATGCTCTGTCTCACCAGCCCCAGCTCTCTCACACGTCTAGAGCCTGGGAGCAAGTGGAAGAGCACCAGTATGCACTTTCTTGCTCCAGTCAGGTATGATAAAAGCTTTTCCCAGCTGCTGATCCTTACTGCAACCTTTTCGCTCCAGAGTGAGCACAAGCTCCTTGACTCTCTAGAGAGAAAGAAAATCAACCCCTCACCCAACACATACCTGAATGAAAATCCCAGGGGGATAACATGATCTGGATTTAAAAATCTGTGAACCTCCTTTTGATTTGTTTTCAGCACATCTTTCCTGGTGAAAAAAAACATGTCTTCTCTGAAGGGAAAAAAGTGCCAAAACCCTCTGTCACATTGGTGCTCTAAGCAATAGCATGAATTATTCAGGGCTCAGGGTGAGGTCGTCTTCTGAGGGGACAACAGGTCCATCACCAGCATTGCTGTGTATTCACAAAGATTTCACTCAAATGCCAGTGGGGATAGTAACAAACAGTGGATAACTGTTAAGTTAATCTTAATTGGTTAAGATAGCGCATTAACAGCAGGTTAGATTGGTTCAGTGATAGGACTGGAGAGCATTTTACAGGCATCGGTCAGGCTCCCAGTACTCCAAACTCTCAGCACCTTTTACCCGAGAATGCCATACAGAGTCATTTGCATGACACTAAATTTGCCAATGATCTGTTAGCAGAACATCCCTGGGGCCAGAAAAACCTGGGGCAAAGGCAAGAGCAGCAAACAGAGCATGTCCTCTTGCTGGAGCAGTGGCTGGATGCTTCACACAATCACACAATCATTGCAGTAGCCTTGCACTAACTGCAGCCACCACGCATAGGGGAGCTCTTATCTGAAATAACTGCAAAAGTGTCAAACCTACAGCTTCTTAAGTAGACGCAAATTTCTCTAGGCCCAAGCAGGGACTGACTCAAGGAAGAAAACTTTGGCAGATATCCAAAGAGACTGCTTAAAACTTGAGGCCTTTGGCCCCCCCTTGGCATTGAAAGGATCAAGTCCTCTCCTAATGCTGAGCACAGGGAATTCAGCTTCGATGCTGAGCTTAATTAAATAGAAATATGAAGTAAGAAAGAAAGGCTAATTAGATAGAAATGCAGAGTTACAGGATGTGAATGCTGATTAACCTAATAATAGACAATAATGTTGTTGAGGGGAGTTAAATGGTTTGTTTAATGGACGGAATGATCTATAGTACATAATATATAAAGTACTTAACATATACTTTATAATATATAAAGTACTTAACAGTAAACATTTAATTACCAGCTTCAGCCACATTTTTCTTCACTGTGCAGAGGAAAAGTGTTTCATAAAAGAGTTACTGGATGGAAGTAATTTATGCTCCTGCAAAAACGTCTGTATTGTGTGGGAAAGAGCAACAACACTTCACAAACACAGCAGAAGGCCTGAGACACACGGAGCAATGCTGGGAGCTGCCAGATAGATAGGAAAGGGAAAAGCAAAGTAAAATACCTGTCCTCCTGATGTAGTACATCACTGCCTCTGTGGGGAAGGATGTACAACCTTCCCTGACATGCCTGCCCATGGGAAAGAGGGCTTGGGAGGCAGATGAGCATGATTCTTCACAAGACAACTCGAGGAATAACTTGGTCACCTTTGTCACCACCTCAGTGTGTGTCACAGAGGAGCAAAGCCAACCTCTGGTAATGGGGAAAGCTGAAAGAAAGAAATGAATGCATCTGCAGCTAACGTGATCCTTTATGTGATCAGCAAGGGCAAAGCCATGGCCCAGCCACTAAAAAAACCCTGCCTGCTCCCAGCACAGATGTCCTTAGTATGAATTTTCCTCAGATTTCCTTAGAGGGACCAGAAGCCTAGCATGTGAAGGTGTTCATCACACATTCAGGATGTTTTGTACTGAGATAAGGTACTCACAGATTTTATGAGTGCCTCCACGTGGCTGGATTGCTCCTGTGGTTAGGCATGCATCACCTTCGCAGCAAATACGGCACATTCTGCAAAATCAATAGTCAGGTCTCTCCTGGAAGCCTCTAATAGAGATGTACAGTGACAATCCTGGGCCTTAGAGCAGGGAAGTCACTCCAGGAGGCTCTCACAGGTCTCTGAATTGGAGAAATTACAGTCTGCAGCACAGGGGTTTCCAAACACACTGGACTTCTGCCATAACAGCAAATATTGCGGCAGTCATACTGTGCCCTTAATGGGAACATGTCCCTTTTAGGGCACGGGACAGGAGGCTTGCACTGCTCCTCTTATTGGTGCAGCAGCAGCTGCGGTCCCATCACATTCACTTCACACCTTGAACTGTGTTGGGCTGACCAAACAACGTGAATGTGCGCAATTTAATTGTAATACCTTGCACTCCTGCTAGAGCTCTTCTTTCTCCTGCCATTTGCAAATGCAAAGCAGCTGAGATGGAGGCAATGACCTGCGCTCAGTGGATCTCAGCCCCCTGGGAGGGTCACCTATGGAGCAGATCATTTCATCCCACTTAGATTTCAAAAAACAGCCCTGTTTGTAGATCCTCATTACTGCATGGCTCTGCCACCCCCCCCCCCCCCCCCCCCGTGCCAGCTGTAGCATAGGTGGTACCTGCATTTCTATATATTAATTCATGAGAAAATGCTGAGACAAGCAGAATGCATGTGAAGAAGACACAGCCTCAGTAAAAGGGAGTGCTCCCAAATACAGGCAAAACATGGGATAATGCCGCTGCTAGGAAAAGAAAAGCTAACATTAGAGTGGGCCCCTGCCAGAGAGCTGGGTACCTGGCTCTGGTAACAAGGAAGCTCCATCACAGATCTATCCCCCTCAACATTAGAAATAAAAGATCTTCACCAAATACCTGCAACAAAACACCCTGCAAATTCTGCCCATCGCTTCCAGCAGAGGGCTGCGCCTTGCCCGATGAGGAGTGATGCCTACTCCATCAGTTACACCACAGGGCCAAAGAGAGCAGGCTGGCCATTAACTGTCCATGATGAGCTAATTAATCATGGACACTTGCCGCACTCCTGTTCCCACATTGTTATTAATGGCTCTGTGAATTGGGCCATGCAGCAGACGGGCAGAAGAGGCTCCTCCACCTGCTGAAGCAGAAATCCAGCTCTGCAAAGGGCACCGGCTACCCAGCCAGCAAATAGGAGAAAGTGCTGAGAGCTGCCCAAAACTCCCACCCGCTCCTCCTCAGGGCTGCAGAGTGACTCGCAGCTCCACACTAGGGCTCAAACTCTCTGCCACAGGGTCTTCCCAGGCAGAGTGGGCTTCCACTGATGGTCAGTCCTTGGACAAAGTTCTCCCGTCATGTCGGGATGCCATGGAGCAACTGACACCAGCCAGTGCCAGGCTCCTGCAGCATGTAACACCCTTACCCGTTCCCATGCACTCCAGTCTCACCTAGTGCAGCATGTGCTTCCTCCATCTCCAGAGGCTTCCTTCTCCAGCTGTGCTCCCAGAGCAAAGCCAGCTCTCCCTGCAGTGTGATGAGGGCTCTCAAGGTCAGGCCCAAGGGCCCCTGAGCCTGCTCCAAACACACTGCCAGCACTCATGTGGCAACAGCCTGCACATGGCCAGTGTACCCAAGTGCTTCTTGTTTGGAGCAAGAGAACATCACTAGGAATGAATTTTGCAGCTGAGCACAGGGAGCTGACAGTGACTTATGCACACTGCTCTCCCTCAGTTGCCTCCTCCCATTTTCTTCATATTTCTGGGTGATGGGAATGAAACTGCACAAGGGTGGGCAAACAGAAGGCATGCACAGAACCTCCATGGCTCAGGGTTTGCTCCTGCCCTGCAAGCTCCCAGACCAGCAGAGCTAGTCTGGCTCAGCCTCGCAGGAACTATTATTGTGAAGCTAAGGCAGAGCCCGAGTCAGCTACTGCAGTTTCAGGGGCACACCCTGCCTTTTACCCATGAGAGTGGATTCAGGTCCATCCCAGTGCCACAGAGGTGAGCGGCTAAAAGATACCAAACCCTCTGAGTCACCTGGAACAAAGAAGGCATGAAAGCACAGTCTGGCCAGCACCTCAGGCTGGCTCCGAGGCCTGCACGCCCGCATGCTAAAGTGGAGGACTCTGGCAATCTATTCATCAAAGCACTAATTGGCACCGATTTGCATCTGATCACATTCCAACCTTCGGCCAGCGCTTGACTATTTACACACCATGTCCCATGTGCAGCTGCACTGAACCTGTGTAGAATGTGGCACCCAAGGGAGTGGACCCAAAATATCCAGCTATGAACTGTGAATCCTTCTAATCCTGTCCCTCACGGGTCCCACCATCACTCTGGTTGAGGGGCAGAAAAGGGCATTTTCTTCACCTTTTAATAGGTGAAGAAAACGTCTCATAAAGACCAGACTTCAAAGCCAGCCTGGAAACTAAGAGCTCACCCAGGCATGCCAACAGGTCAAAGGGAGCTGGGAGATGTTTGGCCAGATGGGGTAGGATGTCCATGCAGTGTCATACTCCCACCAACAAATTTGCCTTACAGAATGAAGATCCCAGCACTTTGAGGTTAATAGCTATTAAAAAGCAAAGGTCTCACATCCTTCCATACATTGCATTTGTTTGGTGTTAAGTCCTCACAACAGACTAGAACAGGGACAGCTGCTAGTTTATTCTGCTGTTGTATTTGTTTAGGGAAGGACTAGCATCACCCTCTCCACCCCATGTGCTTGTAAGAATTCCCAGTCTTAATGGTGCCTGGACAAACCAAGCCTCTTTGAAGCTACTCACCTCTTTGAGGAGGAACAAGTCCTGAATTGTTCCAGCTTAATACAAAGGCAGGAAAAAAATGGGAGGGAGAAAGAAAACAACTGACACAGGACTTAAGATGACACAAATTATATTTCTGAACATCACCAAGAAACAAAATGGGACAAATCCATCTACTACTTGTTACTGGAACTGGGCATCACAGCTCTGAATACAGTGGGAACTGTTCAGCTTCATTTAAACAAAACAAAATTAAAATAATAAAAAAACACTTAAAACCCAAATGTTTTCAGGTCATTGTGGTTAAACTCAAGAGACTGATGCAACACAAGGAAAAGAGATTGCCAATACATTGCCAAAGTCTCTGCCATTTGATTCAGTTAAGGAGGAGCAATAAGCCCAGGACTGCATGTGGCAAGTTTTAAGTAGGGACCATTTATATGAAATGCAAGACTAGGGTCAGGATTAGCAGAGTGAAAACAGGTGAAGGAATTATAGACACAAGATACACCAAGGTATAAGTTCATACAGACCAGTCTTTGCAGCTGTACCTTCTCCATTCAATTTCATAAACAAAATTTCTGAAATAACTAATTCCCATGTGCCAGCTACAGACCCCAAGCTCCACAAGCACTGGTGGTACAATCCAGCTCTGGGCACCACACAGGACACCTTTCAGTCAGGAGTTTGCTACTCAGAAATGTCTACAACAGAGCATGCTAGCAGAGAGGTATCTGCACCAGTGCTAGGTGTGATGGTACTTGTGTGACAAGGAATAGCGTCCCTTTGGCAGCCTAGAGAAGAAAAGCTGTTGCTTGTTTTCCCTATATTAGAATTATCAAGCTGCACTGTGCAGGATTTACCAATGGACGTATTTGGGCATCTTCTAGCTTTGTACTTTAGGCTGCTTGGAAGTGCCCTATGCCTTCTTCATCCCAAAAGAGCGTAGGAAAGGCTGGGAAGGAGGAGGAGCTGGAGAGTCGGTCCAGATGCTAAAAAGTCACTGAGGGGACTGAAATCAGAGGCTACTATGTTAGAAACACACAGTCTTTGGCTGTGGAAGATAAGTAGCTCTTCTTTGGAAGGGCTAAGAGAGGCACCTCTGTATCCTCCAGCAAAGGACATTCACTGTTTTGGGATATGGACTGTACAGCATCCAAACATCTACAATAGTAGCAGAGAGCATTCAGTCTGGCACAGAGCAGGACAGAGGAAAGTAAGCTTGGTATCATTTGCAGGAGAGACAGTTGTTATTGTATCGACCATGCACACCTTGACTGCTCACATTTCGTTCTCAGCATTAAAGGTTCCAGAGCGCCCTGGAATCAACAACTGAGGCAGTCAGGCCATCAACCCAAAATGAAAATGATAATGTATCATCCCTCCATCCATCCTTCCTCAGCATCTCCATAGCCTTGGCCCTTTTCCCTTCAAAAGGCTGTTGCAGAACTTCACTGATCTGTCATCCCAATTCCAGGTAGAATATGGAGCCTTCACACCAGGTCATTAAAGAGACCCCTTTGACTTGGGGGTGTTTGCTTTGGCTATGGTCTTTGGATAGTGGGACAGGACAGGTTTCTGCAACTCTGAACAAAGCTTCAAGGACTAGCTCTGAGCATCTGGAATGAAGCTGGCACAATCACTTTTACTGCATCACCACAGCCAAAAAACACAAAGATGGTAAAAGCAGACAGCTGAGGAATGCCCATGGAAAGTAGCACAGAGTATGTAGGAGTCTCACCTGGAACACAACACATTCATCTTTACCCTGGGACCTTTTTCTAATGCTAATAAAGATATATTACTGACATTGCTAAGATACAGAAAGAGGGAAAAAAACAATGCCTTTTTTCTTTCTTATCAGTTGGGTAAACAATAATTGCCACTGCACAATGAGATTAGGCTCAAATTGGAGTAGCATCATAAACCTATAGTCACAAATCTGTAACCAAACAGAGAATGATAAAGCAAGAATATCTTACTAAACCAGGCTACAAAACCAGTCTACAGGCTACAAAACCAGTCAATGGCACAGGGTAAGAGATGCTTTGATTGTTCACCCAGTAAAACAATAAAATGGAAGATTATTAGATGGGGAAGCAGCAGCTTTGCTGGGCCACATACCAGTAAACCCTGAAATGTGTCCAGTGTACCTGGCAGTAGAGACAAACTGGGCAACAGGCTTCTTTGGGTTCTCTTCAATGGGTAATGTATTTACCAAAAAATACCATTTAGGGTTAACTGAAACCAGACATCAGATTAAATAAACGAAGGCAAAAGCACTATTAACATGAAAACATTTTCTTTCATAATTTTCAGAAGAGAGGGTTTCACATTTTTCTTCAAAGCAACTTGCTATAGCCTAAGTCATAATGTTTTTTAAAAGTGAAAAAGCAACCCTACAAATGAATGCTTCGGTTTGGTTGAAAAGATTTTTTTAATGGTTTGGATTTTCCCTTTTTTATCCCACTGAGGGAAAAAAAAAATTGTCCTAGGTCACCCTTACAACTTTTTTTCCCCAGATTTTTCAGTTCAGCCTGCAAACTGAAAAATCACTGTGGGCACAGCCTACTTGGGAGTTTACTGTCCCTCTTTGTATTTGAATCAGTCCTAAACCAAAGAAAATGGGAAGTTCATTTCACCAGGTAATACCAACTATAATCAAGCTATTTAAGCACACAAAAATACTGACAATAGGAGGAGTTGTGGCTGTTTGCAATGGGCTGAACATGACCCAGGAGACAGACAAGAGCTCCCCTGGTTCCAAAAAACATTGCCATCTACAAGGTTCCTGCTATACCACCCTGCTTTCATATAAGGCAATTTATAAACTGTGGGTCCCATCCTGCATTTTCAGAGTCTGACTGAGACACGCTGATACCACTTATTTGCAAGCAATGCAAGATCCAGGGAACCCATCCTACCTGCTCTGCAAAGGGTTCGGGGGGTTGGGATTTTTGGGCTGGGGGGAAGCAAGTGGAGAGACACGCAGCATCCTTCCCACTAGCAATATTTGAGCATCACTCACGTGACCTGAAAACAACATCCCTTTTTTTGCAGAGTGTTACGATGTCTGCAGGGACAATACAGTACTGGATAGTTGCATTGCAAGCTCAATAAAATGAAAAGGTCTTACAAGGATCCTTGTTGGGACAGTCATCTGGTTCAAACACAGAAGACAACAAAATCAGGGAAAAAAGCCCACAATAAATTAGGTATCAGCACAGCTTTCTAAATGGTCTACAACAACTACTTGCAAGACAAAAAAAAAAAAAAAAAAAAAAAAAAAAATCACAGTTCTAGTACTTAGAATCTTGTCTTTGTTTTTTAAAAAACAATAATCCACAGGTTTTGCATAAAAATAAACATTTTAAACTACAGCACTATGTTAATTGGATCAACCCGCTTTTTTAATATATATAGTTCTATGTATATTTAAATGTATATTTTTTTCTATGAATATTTTTTAAAGGATTAATGGGAGTCAAGTGCATAAAAATAGATATTCTGGGAAAATAAAAAGAGTAATAATAAAGACAACCCCAGTGAAAAACAAAAACAAAAACAAACAAGGCAGTATTCTAAAGCAACAACTCATCCTACTACTATAACTTGTGGAGTCCAGTCCTTCTGTACTGTGAGCAGCTACTCCTAAATACTATTGGGTTTTGTAACAGTGATGTAAAAACAAATTCCTGCATGTTTGGTTTTTTTTTTAATTAAAAAAAAAAAAAGGTGGGGGGAATTGGGTATATAGGACAGATCTTGATGCCTGTTACATTGCTGTCAACAACATACAAAGATCATCTCCCCAGGCTGAAAGCAGGAGGAACTCCAGCAATTCTTGCATTTATAAGAATATATTTTCTAATCAAAATCTAATCTTTCCCTCTGAACTAAAATTATAAAAAAAAAAAAAGAAAATAAAATTAAATAAAACCACACACCAAAACAAAGCCCTCCACTTGTGCTCTACAATGTTTCTCTGTTGCCTTACAAATAGTCAAAACAGGTTGGAAAAGTGGGATTTTCAGTAGTGTGTGTGTCAGCATTCCGTGCATCTTTGACAAAATCCAGTTCCTAACAGTTAGGAAGATTATTTCAGAGAGTGATTCTGTCCCTTTACAGCAGGAAGTAACCTCACTGTTAAAAATCCATTCAAGGCAAAAAGATCAGGGGTGAGTGGGGCACATAAGAAATGGTAATAGCCTGACCTGTTTGCCACCTGCATCAGTATTCAAGTAAAGTTTAAAGTACCTTTGTGGGACTTTAGTCTTGGAGGGTCAGACCAGCTTATTTTAACAAGTGTAATACGCACTCTGAAACAGCCTTGTCATCTGTTTGCTTAAACTAAAAGAACTCAAAAACAAATAGAAGCAAAGGAAAAGTATAGGAAAGGTCTCAGCATCAGTATTAGATTGCAGTGTCTTCTTGACACTGCCACTTTGATATTCTTGCCTCCCTTTTTAATGCATTAAAATATTATGAAGTCATGCAGCCATTTTAAATGAGTACTTCAAGAGTCCAGTTTTCATAGAGGTTAATTTGATCACCAGCACAGCACTGGGGAAAGCTGATCTAACAATATTTCGCTTACAGAATTCTTCAAAGGAAAATAAGAAATACAATTCCACAAATAACAATGCTAATTTAAAACACAGAAAGCAAATTGTTTTTTTCCTCAGTGTTTTTTCTCATTCTTTCAGAAAAAAAAAAAAAAAAGTCTTCCCTTATCTCTTTCTTTAAAAGCAATGTTACTAACCAGACAGATTTTAGAGCTTTCATCTACACGAATCTAAGCTTTTCTGAAACTGCCTGCAGGGTCTGGGGGGCAGAGAATCCCTTCTCCTATATTTCAGAGCCATCTAAATGGCATCTGCTTGTTTTGTCTTGTATCTTCTCTTGACTTTGTCCATTCCTCTTAGCATTTCACAAACCAGTACTCCTGTGAGAATTCAGGTGTCTGCATTCGAAAGACCTTTGGACGGAGCACAGCTTCACACATTTCATCTTCTCCATGCCCTTTCCATGTAGTTTCTTCTGTCTTCACATATACAAAATCATAGTTTGTGTAATATTGTTTTTAAAGGAAGAAAATAAAATACACGCACACCCACATACATTGTATTGGTGAACAGTATACACTGAATATTTTTTTTAACAGCATAACAGAAAGTTTGGCCTACTGTGGGTTGAATACATAGGAAAGGCTGAATTTTTATGGTTGCCATGCAAGCCACCTTCAAGACAAAACAGATGGACCAATCCAAGAGCAAAAGCGGCTTCTACTCTCAAGCCATCAGACAAATACTGCCTTTCCAGGAATTAGACTGACATCTCACCAATTCAGTCAATACAGTATTCAGAGAACCACTGAGTTGCTTCTGCATCAGTCCTCTGAATCCAAATGCTGTTAAAACCAAAGGGGGAAGAGGGTATTTGACTTGCCTTATTATTATTAATATGTATATATTTTGGTAACACTTTGAATTTCAATTTACTTCTGAAACCTTGCCCTTTGAGAAGAACACACCCTTTAAGTTGACTTTTCCCCAGGCTTCTGTTCCTTTAGAATTCTCTCTTCTTTTCATTTCACTGTTCTTTTTTCAATTATCTACCAGAAAACTCGCTTTCTTCCAGCAGAAATACGTCTGGTGGACTTGGGCTTTCACTGCACCCGTTCTGTGAAATTTTCTGGGAATACCCCTCGGCACTGGTCAAGTTCCTTGCGCTGGATCCAGTCAGACTCCTTCACACCCATCAGCCATCCTTCGTCCTGGAGGGGAAGACAGAGATCAGATGCTGAGGGACAGATGTGAGCAGGGACTTTTCTTACAGAGTGCAGGCCAAGGAGGTGTCAAGGCATTATGAAAGCCATGCTAATATTTGGCTTGGAGACAATTCAGGAAGAGAATGGGGGAAAAGTAAAAAATGCTTTCATTCCTTTTAAACAGGGAAAAAGCTACTTCCCAACAAAGTTTGTACCAAAGCTGCTATCTGACTGAGACTGCCTAGAAACAGTGAAATTGTAAACAATTAGCAATGTCATTATTTACACCCATGGAAGAAGGAGAGATTCTGTCAAAGAAAGACACTACAGCTACAGGATGCGAATCACCTATCTTACCTTTCACAATCTACACATGGGGAATATGGCATTCTCCATACTCATAAAAGAGATGGGCACCTCCACAGGGCAACCCACCCCATTCACCTTGAGCACAGGTCTTCAGAACAGCTGAATCACTCCCTGGAGATGCTCATTCCCTGTTCTAGTCAGGGCTCCTGGATGGTTAGCATTTCTGAGAGGTGGTACAGGCAAAATGAGTCTTGTTTGCTATGCTGAAATTCTGGACTGTGAGAATGAGGAGCGAAACCCATCTTCCCAAAACCCAGCAATCTGTTGGGGTTGATGCAAGGTAAAGTTGGCAAAACTCCTAAACTTCCAAAACAAAACAAACATCTATAAATACGGCTGAAGAATTTTCAGTGAGGCACGTGGAGTCCTGCTTGGTAGAACCTGCTCAGGTGAGAACCAGCCTTCCCACCCTCTGCCTGCAGGGTGTCTAGCATTGAGATTTCTATTCCATTGAAAGCACATGAGGGAGGCAAGATACTCAAGGTGAGAAGGCTGCACTGCTTGCAGCTCATGTGTGCAACCACCCTATTCTCTGCATGCCTTGGAGCTGCCACCATGAAAGTTTCCCTTCAGCACGCAAATATACCAACTTGTGAGTCATTTGCAGTGGGGTAGCCTACAGGTTAAGACTGCAGCATGAGGCAAGAGAGCTGTATGGGGGACCACTGCCTGCAAACTCAGCCATCTGCTGTGCATCCACTCCTCTGGGCAAAGCATGCACCAGGCTTATTTAAAGGTATGTTATCACATTCAACTACATAACTTGGCAGAACAGAAAAGCTCAGACAATCAGATGGCCTAAGTGGTGGGGAAATGGGGTATGTACGCATGTGGCTAACACAGTTTTTCTGACACTTCTGCTCTCCTGTAACTGTTAAGAGTTACCTGGGCATTTACTCATGGCGAAGCAACACCTCTCTTAAAACATGTTTTTAAAAACATACCTGCAAGTGCAGGAGCAATGCATCCCTCACTAGGGGTGATTCATGGGGCACATATTGCTTCCACTGCCATTTTACAGATTTTGCCCTCTTGCTCTGTTTTCTGCACATTTCATGTGTCAGCAGCTCAGACCAGCCATGGTATCTAAGTTCCCTGCTCCTTGCACGCTGTATTGGATGTCTGCAGGCTCAGTTAGCCCTTGTGACTACCTTAGATTTGAGCTTTCTGGGGATGCCACAGGAATGGCTTGAGATGGGAGTGCATCTGCAGCAGCCAGCTGCAGAATGACTGACATGCCATAAATCAGGAAGACAAACAACTAAGCAGAACACACTGGGCCCAAGTGTCTGGAAGGCAGCTTCCAACTCACAGCACAGCGAGCACAAAAGCTCATCCATTTGCACAAAGCATCTGTGCCATACAGCATGCATCAGTCCTATTGCATCCTGCTAGCAGGGTCTCTTCAGCTGCAGGGATTATACACAAAGACCCAGACTGATCCTTTCAATTTTGAAACATGTCACATGAAGTGCCAACTTAGAAGCAGTGCTGCCCTCAACTCCTTCTTCAGTCAAGAGAGATGAATCCAGGCCTGGCTGATGTACCTACAAACTGACACCTAAGCTGCAAGACTGGGACATGGCTCACAATCTATTACCCTAAGCTTCCTCCACTCACGTGCACAGCTCATGCACATGTTAACAGCTATCATTTTCTGGCTGGGTATGGTTAAGGTTAGGGAAATGAGCTGTAGGACAGGATACACTGTAGGAGGGTTAGAGGGCTTCCGTGCAGCTACAGCACCATGTTAGCAACACTCAGAGCTCACCCTCTGCAGCTTGGCGAGTCTTGAGTTCATGGCTGTTGCACCCACATCCAGCTAGAGTGCAAACATAGGGCATTGAAAACCTCTGCTCCACAAATGCCATCTCCTACCACAGAAACTAGGGGAGTTGCCACTCATTTCCAAACCAGAAAGCTTTCTGAGAAAGGAATGCTCACAAATGCTTGTGTCGAGCAGACCTACTTAGTGAACAGTTTTGTCTCCAGAAGAAATCACTGCCTCTCCCCCATAAAACCCTTCCCCCCAGAGCACCTAGCTCTGTGGGAACTGCTGGCACATTATAGCTCCCATTTCACAAGCAACAGCAAGATCTGCCTTCATAATTCAAAGCCAGTAGGTGAACCACAAAGAGGATCTCCTGTGACCAGTACACTACATCACTTTCCCTCTACACCTTGTAGAATCTAGATGTTGTCAGGGCTTGGCCAAACCCAAAGAGCTGGTGACTACTGAATCAATTTGGAGAATTCACTTCCTTTTCTGAACAAAAAGCTAGAGACATGAGCATGAATTAGCCGAAGTGATAAAACTGATGCAGACTTCATCAGCTGGAAGCCCTCAAACACAGCAAGTGAGAAGGATTTACTCAAGGCATCTAGAAATAGCTTGAAGAAAAACATCACCATTTAAATTCAGGCCGGAGATGGACCATGAGACTGTACTCTGGCGCTAAGCAACCTGCTCCAGAGCTTGATTCTGCTGCCATCTCCTGACCAAACACTCTGCTTCTGAAACAGCCATTGTTATGCTGAAGTTATGAGGCACCATCCATAGCAAGCTGCTTTCTCAGAGCCCCAGCATTTCTCAAAAGGGGAGAAAATACCATCATAAGCTGTGGGTCACTCCTGCCAATACCACAGTCTGCACTGCAGTAGTCACAAGGAATGCATCAAGTTTAGGAGCAGTGAGGAGGCAAAACGTGAGCTCTGTTTGGCTCCCTGATCAAGAAAGCCATTCTATCGGCTCTAATGTCTGACAGGGACAGGAAGCCATAGCTATTTTACATGCTTTATGCAGGATAATGTCTCCACTTTCCAGTAACAAGCAGAGTCCTCCCTTCCGTAGCAGGAAGCCAATCTCAAGCTCAAGGACAACCTGCCCTCACACAAGCTCCCAGCCACAAACTGATGGCTCTGCATCCAACCAGATGACTGTTAGTGGAGGAAGAAGCAGCTTTGGAAATCCCCCTGGCTCCTCCTGACCCAGGCTCACAGCCTGTCTTTCCCACTCACCTGTTCCTCAGGGTTCTCAAAAGGAATCACAAGCACCACATCCCCAGCCTTCAGCTGCAGCTCATCGCTGTCGGTGGCTGTGTAATCATGCATGGCCTGGACCTATGAGGAGAGGAGAGAAAAGCTTGGGTGAGGGCCAGCCTTCTCTCACAGAGCTTTGTAATGGGTGACAGGCTTTTCACTTTATTGGATAATTCAGGTTGGAAGGCACCATTGGAGGCTAACAACATGCTGCTCAGGGCAGGTCAAGCCTGGATCACAAATGCCACAGCTATGGGAATAACCACTTCCTTAACCTGATGGCTACATGCTCATTCATACAGCCTGGCATGCAGCTCACCTTTGCCACAAGGGCACCCTGGTGCATCTCATTCAACATGCTATGAATCAGCACTTCCCCGTCCTTCCTCAGGAGGGTTGAATTCCCACGGTAATGGCCTAAAACCTCACAGGGAAGAAAACCTGCATTCACTTGAATGGTGCCTTCTTTTGTTTTTACCAGCTGTGATGCAAGAGTATTATTATAGCCTCCCATGTGTCAGAGCAAGCAGAGAGAGGAAACATAGGGAACAGCATCAGTCTGGATCTTCACCACCAGAGACAGAAATAACTGTGGCAGAGAGAAGGAGGGATTTTGTTATACAGCACAGCCAGATGTTTAGACACCAATGCTCTTACTACAGTCCTTTGAAGCATCTGGAACTGCACAAAGCTGGGTTGCTGGAGAGGAAGGTGTATCTCTCCTTCAACTTCCTTCCTCCCTTTTAATGTGGCACAGTCCATGGCCATGCTGAGTGAAAGTGGTTGATTCATTACAGGAAAAAAAAAAAAGACTAGGAACTCTGTGCCGCACCACCATGCACTCACCTTGAATAGAAAACCTGGGGGCATGTCAGCTCTTTCAGATGAAGCTCCTTCCACAGTGCCATTGATGGTAGCAGGGAAAGTTTCCACAACAACAGCAGGCAGAGAGCTCTGGCAGGCAGCAACAGCCAAGGAAGAAGAAAAAAAAACATTGAGAAAAGAGAATCCATCCAAACCTGCAGCACCAAGTCCACCCTGGCAGATCCACACCCCACATCCACCCATGGCTTCAGGGAGTTTTCCCAGCACATCAGTCAGTGACAAAACACTCCAAAGGATGGCAGAGGCAGCAGTGAGAAAATAGGAGAGGTGAGCATGTTTTCCTTTGCCTAAGGCAGCAGAAGGGCAGAGCGGATTTGAGAGTTTTTTTCCAGGACTATAATGCCCAGCAATTCCCATTTGCTGCAGTCACAACACAGTTCTTGTGAAGTCCTCATGGAACAGACAACTCAAATGTGACAGCCAATAGGAACCAAGTGGCCATGAGATGGGACCTACTCCAGACCCCTAAAAATGTGGAAGTGTCAGGAAAAAAAAAAAAAAAAAAGGAGCCCTGGATATTCAGGTGACATCGGCAGAGCCCAGAGAACAGAGTGGGTAAACTTAAAGGCAAGCAAAGAGGATTCCAACAGACAATGCATGCGTAGGACAGCTTGGGCTGTGGGCTGGCTTCACAACGTGGGTGAAGGGACAGTTTCTTTTGTGCATCTTCCAGCATAGCATTTCACAGATAAAATGCAAAGGCTAAGTCTGGGTTCTGAATAACAGCATTGTAACTGCTGGGGTGGGAGGGATGTTTTTTTTCAAGCAGTCACATGTCTTTTCCCAGCTCAGCCTCATGCATCTGCTGTATGACAAAGGGATGTGATGGAGAAAAGGAATTGCTGTCCCTTGAGGCGCTTACCGATCCTGAATCAGCTTCAGTTTTAGATGGTTCAGCTCCAGCTGCTGCTTCTGATCCAGCTGCTTCAGCTCCGGCATGGGCTGCTTCTGCAGGCTGCAATACAAAAGTCATCCAGGTGGAAAGTTACGCTCATTACAACTACGAGCGAGTACAGAAAAGTGTAGCTCAGGCTGTCCAAGCGCTCTATGCTGTTGACTGCTGCCATCTGCTGACAAATAGGTGAGAAACCTCAGCGTCTTGCTAGGCATCTGTCTCCCTCTTGCTCTGCCACCCAGTGAAATCCCAGTAAAGCCTGCATTCCCCCACTTCAGCCATGCAGCAGGCAGTACCCCAGAAGAAATTGAAAAATCCTGTGCTTATTTTTTTTCTCACCATCTAAATTGCAGATCTACCTTACACAGTATCTATTATTATATATACACTGCCCATTTGTATGTGAATACAAGTCCACTTGCAGCCAAGGAACGAGGCTTTCTCAATAGCCCACTTCAAGGATCAACAATCAAGGAACATTTAAACCTTTGCATACTTTTAGAAACAAAAGAACATAGAAATTTCCACATATGGAAATTAGTCTGGACCCAGCATGGACATTAGCACTGAATCAAACTGAACTGAAAACTGTGTTTTCACCCAATTTTATTTTGGATAGACCCAAAGAGTCATGAATTTGGATTCTGTTGTGAATATTCTATTACTAAGAATTTGCTGTGAATATTCCACATGGCATGTGCATGCATTTGTGTTGGTGGAGAGAGGTGTGTTTTTCTAATGCAAAAAAGCTGCCACCACCAGGAAGAAATATTCAGCATCACCTACAAATCACAGACTGGCACAGACCATCCTAGGAAGCCCAGGGACAGGAGATTCTGTGTACAAAAACCCAGCCAAACACCTCTGATACACTTCCAGTGGTTCAAGTCTTTATTCTCCTTCACTGAAGTCAAGCAAACTCCGTTTTAACACAAAACTAAAGATATTCATTTGCCCCTTTCAGAAACTGCAGCAACACAGAAAATAACTTGGATCTGGTAGCATCAGTGCTGCAGATCAGCCCCTTGGGAGACTGGCCAAACAGCACCTGGGAAGACTCCTGACAAAAATCTCAGGGATCTAATATGCAGCCCATCATGGCCAGTCTATATCCATTTGTTCTCTATACCTGACAGCACACATGCCTCTTTGCAAAATCTAACCAGATACCCACTTCATATTTGCACAATAGATCACTATAGAGAGATTTACCATTTTTAATATGTGTGAATAAACCAGCTTTAGCATGCCTTCATGCTTCATATACTTGGTAAACACATGTTGATCTGGTTTCAGCTGGGATAAGAGTTAATTTTTGTCCTAGTATCTGGTATAGAGGTGTGTTTTGGATTTAGGATGAGAGTAATGCTGAAGACACACTGGCGTTGCTAAGCAGTGTTTGTACAGGGTCAAGGCCTTTTGTGCCTCTCACACCACCCCACCAGCAAGCACAAGAAACTGAGAGGCAACACAGCCGGGACAGCTGACCCCAACTGACCCAAGGGATATTCCATACCATTATATTCCATGTAACATACAAACTTTGGGGAAAGCTGGCTAGCAGTCCTACTCGGGAAAATGCTGGACATCAGTCAGTTGGTAGTAAGCAATAGTTTTTCATTTGCATCACTTGTTTCTCTTGGGTTTTATTCCACTTTATGTTATTTTGCTTTTCATTACAATTTTAAAAATTATTATTCTCATTATTATTTTAATTATTAAACTGTTCTGATCTCAACCCAGGAATTTTCTTACTTTTACCCTTCTATTTGTCTCCCCCATCCCACCAGGGCAGGGTAAAGGAGTGAGAGGACAGCTATGTGGTGCTTAGTAGCTGGGGTTAAACCACAACACACATACCCTTGAATACAACCACGTGAAAAACTAGGCATTGTCCAGATCTCTTAATACTGCAGTTCTCATAGTTCTAACCCTACAAAAGCTCAGTGAAAAGCAACAACCATGGTAACCCTTAACTCTATATCCATCTGGCTACTAGCCATGCACTGGCTCAACGCTCTAAGTATTTTTCTAATAACAGCAGTAATATAGACAAAATAAATTCCTGATTTAACAAAAAGCCATTATTTTACCTTTAGCTGTTCCAGTGGTGCCATTTAACACATGCTTGCCTCTCCTATCACACCCTTCCTTATGTCTCCCCATCGCCATGTCCACAGGCCTATATTGCCAGAGAATATTATGAACAGCAGAGCTATTCCCATCCTGCAGAGAATTCCCACAGCAGCTTTGGTACTGCTAAGGTAAACGTATGCATATGAAATGCTATAAAGGCTTCTCCTGTTTAATTGCATTCATTCCTAAGTTGCTTTTTATTTGGATTCCAGGAGAACTAGAACTGGGACAGATGCCAGCCCAACTCTATCTGGCCCAACATGACTTTTATGTGGACAAGTAAAAAGGAGATCAATGCGAGCTTCCTTTTTAAAATCAGCTAATTTGTAAGAATGATATTTAATAACCAGAGGAACTGAACCTAAATTAATCCCCTAGATTGCAATAAAGGGTGTTTTCATGTCAGCTACTTATTTTTCTATTTTGTGTACCTGTGGGCATCTCAAGGCCTACAAAAGCATTCAGAGTCTTGGAAAGATGCTACAGGGACAAGAGGAAGAACTGCTCACTGCTATTGCCAGGTTTGAAAGCTTTGCTTATTCCAACAGCAGCATCTTACACACTAAATGCAACTTTCCTAGTCTGCAGAACTAAGCAAGTTCTGCTGCATCCAAGATTCTATGCAGTTATTAACCTCACAGCATATGGGACTATGTAACCATGCAACAGGCCTCCTCTCATCAACAGCTAAGAACAACATTAGAGCAAAACCACTTCAGTAGACTTGAAGAGCAAAAGGATTCCCCGGCTATAAGGAGCTGGGCTCTTTAGCCAGATATAGTATGCCAAGGTGATAACTGGCACAGTGGGAATATGTTGTTGGGTAACATTCTCTAGTTGATTAAATTGTTCTTTGAGTGACATCAGTTTCCAGGGTGGAAAAAAATAATAACCCAGAACTGTATTATGCCCAGACTGTAAGCACAGCTTAATCAGCTGCAGTCATACCCCACCCCTGCCCATCCACTTGAAAGGCATAAGATGCTTCCTTGCAAAAACACAGACTTCATTCTTACTAAGACAGACTGACAATGCACATACAGGGGAATGACAGATGTTAAACACTGATGTCTGATAACACAGACAAAGGAAACCTCTTTCTGGACACGACCCAAACTCACATGAAGGAGAGCACACTGGCCACAGAGAATCTTCAGGCCAGGCTCTCAGCTAGGGTTAACTCATGTCTTCCCAGGTACAGACTCTACGTGGTGATGTGGCCCTTAAGAATGAAAAGGTTGGCAGGACTTGCTGATTGGCAAGATTCCCCAGCATAAGCCAAGGACAACTGCTTACATCTACACCATGGTGTTGCCAGCTCATGTAGCAGGTCTGAATACCCAAGAGCTGTCTGTCCACACAGCTGGCTGTTTGTCCAGAGGGGCTCAGAAGTTGTGCTCAAAATATCTCCCAATGAGCTGATCTACAGCAATCTGAAACCTTCCCAGGCCCGATATATCTAGAGGGTATAAATGAGCGTTTGGCTGTGGTACAGATGCAAAGCACATGTAGGGTCACTCTTGTCAGCAAGCTCCAAAGCTGAGGCTGAGGCAGATGCCAGGTAAGTCTTGGGCCTGTACTTAACTTCCAGTGTAGACATAGGCTGAGCTGATTCACATCGGCCTTTACGGCAATGATGGTCAATACATAGCAAACACCACAGATAATTCCAAACATGTATGTATACCCAATGGTACAGGCAGTAAGGATGAGGGGCAGCTGAGGCATTTATGCATTGCACATGAGACCAACAGGTAACAATGGGGAGTGGAGGGTGAAGATGATGCCACAGTGGGACTAAGTTTGAGAACATCATAGCATCATGCTAAAGGAAAGATGAGTGAGTTAGCAGGGAAAAGCAATGGATTTGTGTGCTGGTGGAAACTTAAAGTTTCAGAGTGTCAAACCTGACTTGCAAATATGCGGCTGCCCTTGAGGCTTCATGGAAAGTGCAAAAGTGGTTCCAGCAGCACATAGAGCAACTTCAGTTTGGGGTGTGCAGAAAGAAAAAGCAGCAATGCAGGCAGGTATGATGTCTGGCACACGGCACATGCACAGTAAATGATGAGATGAAAGCCATATGAAGTTCTTACCTCCCATAAATCCCAAGGTAAAGACTAAGCATATCAAAGAGCAACAAAAATAAAACATGTTTATATGTGATTATTTCAGTGAATACAAACATTACAGATGCTGATCAGACTGAAGCAGACATACACATTCAACAGTATTTATCCCTGCATGTTTCAAAAATATTCTTTTAGTACCTGAATTTACACACCCTTCTGCACTGCATATTCAAATGTAAGTACCAACGCATTTGAGTAAGGGTGGTTTTCTCCCTCTGGTATGAAGTGAGACAGTCAAGCCACATTCAGTTATCAGTGGCAGACCACATCGCTAGAAAAGAAACAAACCCAAGCACCTCATGAGTTTGTGGTCTATCAGGGTTAAATATGCTCCTGTATATCCACACCCAATAGCATCAGTGTGATTTCAGAACAATTTCAACTAGTGTCTTTGGACAGTAGTGAAATATCTTAACCTCTTTTGCCACAGTGCCCACCTTACAGGAAATAGATTTGCTTTCAAGACAAGGTGGCTTTTGATAGGTTTTCTGCTGTAGTTAGCACTAGAAAGTATTGATTTAAGACTCTTTCTTTTAATGACTTCTGAAGCTAAAAATAGATATGTTAAAACTCCAAATATGCTACTGCTGAGCAGTTTAGCAGTTTGAAAAACCTACTCAGTGTCTAATATTTGTTTCTTCCTGGAAGGGTAAGAAATAATTCTATTTTAAGTTAAATTTATACTCACTTCCTGCACCAGTTTACCCAATTATAAAAAAAAACACCCAAAAAACACCAAACAACCCAATAAATATTTTAAAAGAAAAAAGAAGTTTATCCTGGCATGCAGCTTGTTCTGTCAGACAAGGAGGCACAAAAATCTGCCCACTTAAAGTTCCAGAAAGTGGTTGTTTGCCATAGTGGTGTATATCAAACTAAGATACTAACTTGCAGATGCACTATTTTAATTTAGAAGAATCAAATGCTTAATGTTTGATCTCTCTAATACAAGAGGTCTTATTGCTACAAAAATGTGTGTCAATACAGGCCTATCTGACATGATGACACTGCACTGCAGAAATACTGTAAACATCCCAATTATGTTTATTACAAATTTTAATGGCAACCACAGGCAAAAAATTACCATCCAATACATATGAAATGGAAAGTCTCAGTGAAGACAACAGCCAAATTCAGGATGCGCTTCAAAGCCTCCAGCTGTTTAGACATAAAATGAAGCACAGTCCACCTGCCTCTGAGAGTGGATAGGACGAGGTAGAGGCAAGACCAGAATTAGGCATCTTCCTTTTTGATACTGCACTGCACAGCACTATGGTCAGGGAAGAAGCTGCTACGTTATATCCAGAAAAAGAAAGGCTTCACATCATTTGAATATCCATCTACAGCTTTATTCACCTGAAGTAACTGCAGATTATCAGAGTGTCCGTTTATTAAAAATCCCTTTGAGAGCAATTCATAGCAGGACCACAGAACAGAGGCTGAATTCCCACCCATGGAGTAACAGTTTAAATCCATATAGCATACAGAAGATGCTAATTCAGGGAGGGACATACATGGTTTCAACACATTGTCAATCAATAGATCATCAGAGCAAAGGACAAGCATCCCACAAACACCTAGTGCCAGACTTTGGCCAGGACAGTAGCCACTTGATTATCTCTGGACTTACACATCCAGTAGAGAAGACCAAGGTACCCATCTGCAAGGCACAGGTCTGGGCACCCAGCCCAGCCGCCCACAGCTCAGGTCCGTATTATCGTTCACAGAGGTGCAGGTCATGCCACACTTGGCAACAAGTTGGTTATGAAGAGAGAAGGAACAGTGATATGAACCAACCTGGGAGGCAGGTGTGGGGGTCTTCCCCACAGTGGCATCTGGTTTAATGGGATCAAAATCCAGATCCAACAGGCTGGCTCCCTCCTGGAAGGGCCCAGGGGCATCAAACTTGGCAGCAAGTGAGGAAGAAAAGCAGTATGAGCATTAGACATGCACACACACACACACAGAGTAGAGGGAGGGTATGTGATATCCAGGAGCTAAGGCTGCAAGCGCAGAAGACATGGTGGCACTGCAAACACCTGATGTGACTCCTGACTGCTTGGTGCCTATAATCACAGCAGTTCACATGGGTGCTACTGGAAACCAAGCCTGAGTCTTTTCCACAGGACTCATTCACCTTCTACCTGGCAAATGAGCTGACATGGTATAAGCACCTGACCTGCTGTCATCAAAAGGATCATCACCATGATTCAGAATGGCTTCTCTTCTATTTTATATCTATTCCCCATAGCTCATCCAGCTGCTTTTGTACTGAAGGCCCAGGACAGACTCCCTCAGCCACATACAGAACAGCTGCCACCCATACAACTTATCTCAGGAACATGGATCCAGGCAGAAAACCACTCAAACTGCTGAAAAGCCAGTCTGAGACCTCAGAGCTAACTCCCAAAGCTCCTAACTCCCTCCTGCCTTCCAAGACAGAGACACAGAACATGGCAACTCATTCAAGCTAAGGTATTTGAACCACGCCCCAGTCCAAAAATGTTTTCAATGGTTCCCATTTCTGGGCATCCCAGAAACATGCACACAAGTCTTCTAGCAAAGCATAATTTGAGAAGCTTTGCTCATCTCTTCAAAGTCAGCAGAATAACTGTGATTAGCACTCCAGCTAAAGACAGGACATTCACTGATTACCATTAATAAAACAGTCACTAGAAAAGACATGAGTCACTAGTATTCAAAAACAAACTATCACTTTTGGGGGTTAGATTTAACCTAATCACTACAAGTCACTCCTCTCTACCCAATGTCAACGGAAGCTACTCTGTCCAGGAAGTCCAGGAAGATCTGCCCATTTCCACTGACCTCCCAGATCACTGGCCGTACTGCTTCAGCTACCTTTCCAACATCACACAGAGTGTGGCAGGTCAGTCTGCAGTTATATCACAGTCCTACAATGGAAACCAACTCCTAGAAAGTAGACCGAGACACAACTTAAGAGAAATTCCTCTGAATACAAACCACACCACCATAATTTTCATCTCCTCTGGTTTCTTCTTACTCCAATTCTCTTCTGTATTTTCCCCTCCCTTATGAACACCTCTTTTTGAGATCCACAGGAATGAGGACAGGGAGCCAATCTCTCCCATCTTACAATAATAAACCCTGACCATATGCAAAACCAACTGGCATTCTAGTCCACTCCTCCACCACATCCAGGCCACCCATCAGAGAGGCTCCAACACCAATCTTCAGTTTTGTTTAGTAGTGAGACATCAAAGGCTCCAATCATGGAACTTTTCTACCTGACAATCAAGACTTACATGCAAGGGCTAGCACACTTTACCCAGATCTCCAGAACTCATTGGAGCTAAAACATCCAGTAGGAATGGCCCCGGGCCACGCACTGAACACTAGTGCCTGTTGGGTGCTTCAGTGAATATTGTTCTGGCAACCAGAGTCTTCTCTGAGACCCCCATCTGACTGAAAGTCATAGCAGTTCCCATCCTGGGTCAGAGCACTGACCAGGTGCAGAACAGTATGTCTGAGAAAAGGCTGGCATTCACATGGAAATACATAATACAAACCATGGGGCAGACAGAGCTGTCTGTTATGATACAGGATATAAGGATACATAGAAAAGATAAAGAGTTGCTCAACTGCCTGTGGTCCCCAACTTCCAACACTGCTGTCAAATCATCTTTCTGCTATGCAAGATTTACTGCAATGCAAACTCTGACACAGAGTTTCTTCCCTCCCCACTCTACCTCTGCTCTTCAGCAGCTGGGTGGAAGGTGGCAAGACAAAGGCAATGGAGCAGCATGATGCAAGGAAGAGTTAGAGAATGAGTCACAGATGAGCATCTATAGAAACATTACTTGTGTTTTAACAAGCGTTTAGGCAAAAAAAAAAAAAATTATATATATACATGTGCTTATATATATTTAAAAAAAAAAAGAAAAATAGTAGATGCAGGTATCTCATGATACAGCCAGAAATCTGGTCAGGCTCCTATGTATGTAAGGACTTCCATTTTCCTAGATCCAACACAGAATTCCCTACCTGGGCATCCTCTCTAGCAGTGATGAAAACCAGAAGGAAAATACATAATTTGAAAATGATTTTCCTTTTTGTGGGCTTCAAAAGGTGCCACAAGAGAAGAATATTCTGATGGGAACCACTGGGTGGGGAAGAGTGACAGACCATCTTCAGCACTCCAAAATTCACAGCGGACACAGCCCTGCTCATCTAAACTGGAGGTACCTATTCTCTGCAATGAATTTCACATAATTCATGTTGGCCTTCCCTATGCAGGTGAAGGCTTTAAACCACAAAACTCGTGTATGAAGGCACAGAGAGCACAAAACTGCCTTCTCTCAGAACTAGCAGGTGCCAGGGTCAGCACTTGGGGATGTAAAAGAGCAGAAAACAGATGCTTCATCCACACCCAGGATCAGTGGGTCTGGAGAAAGAATAATGTGGGATATGAGGAGAGCCATACTCCATGTCATTGCTACTGAACAAATGCAGCATTTACTTTCTGGCATCTTCATCAGTTTATTTCTCTTGTTTCTTCAATGAACAAAAGTTCTCAAAGGGCAACGTGTTAGCCAAAGCTGCCTTCCAGCCACCCTTTCCTCTAAGTTAGCCTCCCTTTCCCTTTGAGGTCCAATGTTGATAATGCCTTCCTCCTTCACCTGACCAGGTTTCGTGGCTTGACACCTCCAAAGAGAAGAAAGATCGAAAAGAAAAGTTCAGAGGCAGAGAAATATAAGGCAGGGCATAGCAGCTAACCTGCGAAGGGGTTGTCACACTTATCTCGGGGACAAAATTGTCATCAAACAGACTGATGATGTTCTCCTGCTTGATCTCCTTGGAGGGGGTGACTTTTGGAGGCGGAGGCACCGGAGGCCCTTTCCTCAACTGCATGCAAGTGAGCACACGGCCACAGCACAGATGGCGACACCCAAAAAAACGAGAGACAGGAACCAGGTTAGCCACAAAAACTGAAGGTGGGGGAAATCACAACCACAGGCACAGAGCAGGGTCCAATCAACTCCATCTGAAGAGAGAGGGAGGGAGGGTGAAGGGCTTAATTGAAACAAAACAAAACAAAACAAAAAAACAACCAAAAACAAACAACCACACACCTCCAGAGAAGGTTTGGCATCATTAGTTACACTTCAGCTGTGGGCTGAAGTTTCCCTCTGCAGAGGAGAAGCGTAACACAATTAATATGCATTGGCGGTACATGCATACATAATTAAAGCATGTGCAACCTTCAAAAGAACCACTGGGAAGGGAGCAGATCAATTAGTGAGAACAAAATTCAATAGACCAGGCCAGTACTGCCTCCCTTTACCATACTTACCATACCTAAGAGAATGAGAGATCAGACTCAGTTTGTCCTATTATCTGTAGGTGACCATGAGAACAGACTCTGATCTGCCCAGTACTGGTTCTGTGGTGCACTTGTTACGAGCGTACCTTAAGGTCTGAAGGAACTCTGATAGCTTCTTACCACTTCTTAGGTTTAGGCAATAACAATTCAGACTCCTGAGAAGCCATGACTGCTGGAGGCCCAACTCTGCTCTCAGTTTCACCAATGAGCATTGACACTAATGAAGTCAGGTTTCCCAAATGGAGATCCCAGAGAAAGCATAACAAAGTCTGACCCTGCAACTCTAACACACCCTAATACCCACTCAGACTCAGCCTGACACTGCATCCTGCATCCACAACCCTATGGGAGGCTGCAGTAAACCCTCCCTACATGAACCCATCCTTATCTTTTTCACATTTTCTTGTGTGCAAGCCTTCAGTGATCATTTCTAGAGCAAATCAAACTTTGAGAGGCTGCTACTGTGTTGGAACAAATCAGCCATTCAAGTTCCCAGCACCACAGCAATACTCAGCAATGACAATGCTTTCCATTTACAGTGATATTTTACAGTTACTTGATCTTCTCATCATACCTAGGATCCCAAGGCAGCAAGACTCTGCCAGTAAGCACTCAGTATACCAGTGTGAGGCCCAGATCTGAAACACAAGAATCCCCAACTCCTAGTACCATGTTCACATTCTTCCAGAATAAAACTGAGTTCTACAAGACATTTATTCAGATTGCTAAGGATATGCCTAGTTTTCTACTGGGTTCACCTACTTTACAGAGTGTGAGTATGCAAACACACCTTTTCCACTAAATAGATGGCATGGGGAAATAATAAAAGTAGTGTTTTCACTTCCAGATTCTCACTGTTTGCAGAAGGTGGTGTGTCCATATTCCCCAAGAACAACCACTGCCTTAAAATCCCCTGCTTGACAGTTGCAAGAAGGGACCAGAAATGTCAGGGAAAAGCTATCATCTGCAGAGCCACCATCTGCAGAAATGGAAAGCTCCTATTACAAACTCTACAAAAAGGTCCTGACACTTCAGCTATTTATTTCTCAAAAATAGTCAGTCTCCTTCCTTCCAATGCACTAGCATCTTGAAGACCACCACTTCCACAGCGTCCAGCATTACTTCCAACAGCAGTCTAAAACCACATTTCAAAGACAACAGGATTGAATAATGATGTCGGGTTGCACCCTGGAAATTCATCAAGAACAAACAACTTTGCCACCTAGAAGAAAAGAAACCCTCTAAATTCTTTCTGCTGACTTGGATCCCGAAAAGCTTCACCATTCTAAATTCAACTTAGTTGCACTGGTTTCAAAGTGTCATTGCAGCATTTCAGTGGTGTAACTGAGAGCAGAAGTCTGACCTTTCAAATTTCGCAGACCCCTGAAGTCTCTTACTCAGTGTAGAGACCTGATAGCAGTCGCTTCTTCCAAAAGACAGAAATAAGCTGGTTTTGAGAATTAAAGAACAGTAAGAGTGAATATGGTTTTGGCATAGGGAACAATTCAAAATTTAGTATTTACTAGATTTCTCTTGTTTTGCTGTCTTTCTCTCCACAGCTTTTGCATTAGTATTTCAGACTGTGGAGGCCAGAGAACTGTACTTGCTTGTTGCTTTTTTTTCCACCCTCCTCCAGAGGGTGAGGCCCCTAGTTTCTCTAGGATGACCCTTGAACAAATCACTTACCCATTGACCAAAAGTAGTAACACCTGTGATGATTTTGAGTATTAGCCTGAAGATTTCAGTCAGAACTGTTGAGAGAGTAGACACTTGTGCTTTCCAACTGGCTGGCAAGATGACACACACTTGGTTTCTAGACTTTATCCTTACAGGTACCAAGCTTAGGTCTCGGTATGAAACCCTTGTCCTTGTCTTCCCTCCCTCTAGAGCCGGCTCCATCTCTTAGCACCTAATACGAATATGGAGTGGAGTTCTTGCTCTTCACTGTAGTGAGGCTCGGAAGAATGAATTAAATACAGGTTGGGAAAGACCTGCCAGACGGTGGCAGCATAAGCTGCAAATATCGTTTCAGACTTGCCTCTAGCCCATCTAGGGTTCCAGCCAGAGCTGCCCTGGAATATCCTGCTTGCTCGACATGGGGTGCCTCCAGCCCCATTCCTGTGGGCAGGAAGGCAGCAAGCGAATGAGAAAGTACTTGTAGGCTGGCAAAAACAAGGCTTATGTGTACTATTTATAGCAAAGGGAAGAAGCCAAACTCGGCAAGACAAGTCCACAGGCAGGGCAAGTGAAGCCTGCAGTGAACAGCTCAATAAAACTGTAGGATTTCTTATTCCAAATTTCAGTCAAGTTATGCCAATCTCTGAAAAAAAACAGGAAGGCAATTCTGGATGCAATATCCTCTCTCTCTCATACGCACACCCTACTCCAAGGTCCTAGCCAGGGTGGTGGCAAAGCTGCTCTTGGCAGTGCAATGCTGAGCAGTACAGACACCCTGGATGGCAGACACCCACACACCTTTTTGCCAATGTAGAAACATCCCCTTTTTGTCCCTAGATGATCCTGAAAAATCAAAAATGCAGTGGAGAGGAAAATGTCATGAGGGGCTATCCAAAAACAGGAGACAGCCTGCACCTCAGGCCTGGATTTGGAATCAATTGCTACATATAACAACAGCAAGGAAGTTCTGGATTGTACCTGTCTCTTTTCAGAAGCAATGGGTTTTCTCTCACCAGCTTGGCCAGAACCCCTCTCAGCTTTAATTCTTCCTGGAAGACTATTCCCTTGTGTCCCACTTACTGAAATGCAAGGATTGGCACCAGACATAAATATGGCATAGTTACTACTTTTCCCTGCTGAGCTTTTTCCCCACTTTGCAAAGGAGGAATATAGAAGAGTGGAAAGAGGAAGCAAATGTTTTTTATATGCTGAGTATTAGGAACTACATCTGCTATTTTAAACACATCACTGGGTATCTCCCATGTAAGGAGAGGACTAACAAAGGCCACGTGGAAGGTATTGCTCCATATAACGGACAGCTTTCTTTCTGGTACCCACCTAACCTGTTTATAGCATAATATAATTCCTTTATTTTTAGCATAATACTTTATCTTGGGATTAAAATAAAACACCATGTAAAGTACAGATGTTCTCCTTATCAATATTAATATTTCTTCTTTGAACGTTCCTCAGTAACGGAAGTTCTTGAGAAGAAACTGGACCATTGAATTCCACAGGTCAATTAAAATGTAGAGAACAAACTTCCTTGTCTAGCTACAACTCTATCCTCCTTGGATCTTCTTGACCGTTCTACCAGACAGCAAAATGTGTTACTAGCCTTTCCCCTGTAGAAGTATTTAAAGACAGATTAGTTCTTCCCTATATGAATTAGAGATGACCAATAAGCAACTTGTATTCTCAGGAACCTCTCAGGAACCAGTGAAGGAGAACAACAGTCATTCGTATTCTCTGTGCTCAGTAGCAGGAAGAGGTCCAAAAAGGCAACTGATGGATGTCTTTGACTCACGGAGCTTGTGCCAACAGCGGTCATACTGCAGAGATACGGTCAATGTCATGGAGACACTACCTGAGATGGTGACTTGGGGATGCTTGCCCCAGGTGTTTCCAAAGTGGACGGCTCCAGATCGTGGTTGACAGTCTTGGTCTCAGGGCTGGTGATGGGAGATCCATCTGGTGGAGGCGAGGGGCTTTTATTTGCTTTCGCTGGGGTGCTGTCACTGAAGGAATTGAAGGGAGAAAGGGAGAGAGAGAGAGAGAGAGAGAGAGAAGTCTGAGCCAAGCCTAGGAGGAGTTGTGCACAGATCAGTGGCCTCCATTATCTCTTTGCTTCACTGCCCAGACATGTGATGAAGACATTTGAAGCCTCTACAAGCATCTTTGCTGAGTCACTTGCAGTCCAACGCACTGCAGCAGCATTACTAGTAGCAGCAGGCTACTCCCTGAATTCCTACTCATGGATATACTTTGCCTCAGACACAGAAAACCAAACAAAATAAAAACTAACTAGGCATCTTTAATTCTTCTAGATTCTAATGTAAGTGCCTGATATTAAGTTGTAGTCTTTTAATACTGGGGAAGCAGATGGTGGAAGGAATTCTGCGCAGCCCATTTAGTTTTAAATTCTACAGATAAGATTTTTTTTCTGCATGGTGCTGTACCCACAGGTGACACCTGTGTGGGTTATGATTAATAGATTTGCAATACCTGAACTAAGGCTGTAATCATACAATATCATAATTCTCTATATGGTACAAACTAGCCAAGCTGGAAGAAGGGCAGAGTAGCCAGAAGTTTCACAGGTCACTCCAGACAGCAAAGAAACAGTTACTAATAAAGATTTCTCTATTATGGAAAGTCTCCCCATCCTTGTTTTCAGTTATGAACTCCTTCTGCCCTTGTCTTTCCAGTTGGTCCTTATTCCAGGACTTGACTCTGTGTTTCTGACACACAGTCAAGAAGGATTTTTCAGGGAATTAAGAAGCAAGGAGCATATGCCAACAGCGTTTGTTAGTTCATAATTTAGCCAGATCTGGGGAGTTTTCAAAGGAATGGGACAAGGCACACACCTTTCCCTAAGGGCTTACCCTGAGCAAGTGTCAAGTCTTCAAAGTACAGAATCATGAAAGATTTATAAAAAGCTGGTTACTAGAGAATTTCAATAGGGACAAGGGTAAAGCCATTTCTCAGCCTAATTCTCAGGAGCAGCTGAATCATCGTGGCTGAAATTCAGCTCCCCAAAAAGCAACTACTCAATTTATATCGAGTCATGCAGAACCACAGAGACTGGTAGGGGATATTTAGCAAAGGTGGTTACAGTTTGGCAGAACTATACACAGCTGAAAACAATATAACAGAATATTGCAAAAGGGCTGTGCAACCTCATCTACAGTGGGTGATATCGTTTGCCTCCACTTTTAAAACTGCAGGTCTTGTGAAGTTAAAGGCCTTGGGAGAAGGCTGAAAGGATCGGATCCTTTCCTACACCTTGAGATATTAAATGCTGGCATAGAGCCAAAACTAGAGACAGCAATGTAGGGCTGACTCTGCAGCAACATCAAGTTGATTATTACTTTGCTCTGTCTCAAGCAAGCCCAGAGCTCAAGACATACATCCACTCACATTTCAATGCCTGAGGTGTGGTCATTGGCTAACATGCATCATAGCCTCATTGCTAAACACTCACGACTAGGGGAACAAGAGGAGGAAGGGACAGCAAGGCATTTCAACAAACCTACCCTTCCAAGCAAGCATCCAAAGCAGGAGGAGCTCAGCATTCCAGCTTTCAAGCTCCCCATCCCATTCCCTCTTTATTCACTTCATCCTCATCTATTTCCCACCTCCCACTTTCTCCCTATATCCACACCCCACACGCACATTTCTCCACAAAAGCGCCTGTTCTCAGGTCCACATGCAGGTCGGTTGTTCCTGGCAACACTGATGCCAGCAGCACACCAACATGATGCAACAAACCCAAACACATTCTCTGCCAGCAGCTCTCAGAGGCACACACACCAAGGGAAAAAGGGAAAAGAAGAGGAAAAGGGGCTTAAGAACATGTATGCCAACCCCTGCAGCTTTTCAGTTCTACTGAATATGCCTACAGTGTCCTTCCTCAGAAGTCGTCAGAAAAAACTTCAAAACAGTGGGTTTTGTGAAGGATTCTGTGAAATGGACAAGGTTGCGCTGCCGATTAAAGTAACGGTTGGAAGGTGAAGGTAAGGAAGTCCTGCTCTAAATGGGAGTCACCAGGGAGCAGCAGGAAACGGCAGGAAGTGTCATCTGATGCTAGAGTTGGGGAAAGAAAAGTACATGTTACCTTCCCTACAGTTGAAAGCACTTTGGGAAAGATGCAGAACACAGTGAACTATTGCCAGACAGCCAAGACTCCTCAAATGCCCAGACTACACTGGGAATATTGGGACTATTGGCCTACCAACACAAGGGTAGGCTTTTTCTTCAAGGGACCTGAAGAGCCCACTTCTCCAATGGGAAAGGAGTTCAGGCTTCTCTAAAGACTATGAAGCAGCTTTTTAGTGCCTTACATCTGGTGCCTGGCAGTGACTTAATTTGGAGATATACTGGTAAAAGGCTCCCATATGAGAGTCCAGTTTCTTCCCATCACCCTACAAGGGCTGAGAGGGCCTCCCACTAAATCTGTCATTAGGTCACTACTATTTACAGCTTGTTTGATGTGTTGGCTGATCCTCCTAGGAAAATGCCAGTGCTAATTTTGGCTGAGCCTTTCCAATCCCCTCCCCAAGTGGCACCTTCATTCCTGCACTTGTTGCTTTGCATCCATTTAGTCAGGGCAACCAGCGTCAAGAGAGCTTGTCACCAGGATCCTCTGTCCTTCACAGATCCCCAGGGAGCACACACTGCCCACACAAATTCCTGGCTCCAAAATGACTGCTCACACAGGAAACACAGGAAAAAACAAGAGTGTATTGACTATCCCCACTGATCAAACCTGAGTATTACAGTAAAAGCAAGTCAGAGCAGAAAGGTCATTACTCTCTCTTTTTCCTTCCCATGAGCAGCTGGGAAGTGATGCCAAATCCAGGAATATCAGGCAGGGAAGGGAAGAGGGTGTCAACTTTCTTCTCCAAATAGAGAGCTGGGAACAGGGTCTAATGCAGTTAATGCAGCTGAATGGGAAGCCAAATCCTTCAGCCCCTATAAAGCTGCTGAGTTCCCAGACTTCTCATGGGGCTGCCTCATCTGTTCTGGAAGAGCAGAGTAACATCTGCAGATGGGGTTCCCATGCACTTGTAACAATCCTATGTTAGAGTATGAAACCTACTTTCCAATATAGTAAAAACAGACTAGTCACCTCCTGCCAAGTTCTCAAGTTAAAAAGTAAAAAAAGCTGGCATCTCGGCTAAGGCTTAAATAGGGCTTTTTAGCCAAAATTAATTTTGTTAGCACCAAAGGAGGATGGAGAATTATTTTAAAAAGAGGGAGTGGTATAAAGGAGGAAAAGGCACCTACATGCCCAAAGAGTGCCACAAATGTACAGTCTTGGTACAGAACAAAGAGTGACTGAGTCCCAGACCCTCGTTCCCTGCACCAGGGGTTGCACATTCCTCTGTGACCCCAGCAGCTGCTCTGAAAGCAGAAACCTCTAGCGCAGCCCCAGTCAGACACCTTAACTGCTGGGCCATCTGAACTTTATGAGGGCAGAATAGGAGGACATTGTGTCTAGAACTCATCAAGATGAGATTTACTAGCTATCCCTCTGTTGTAGCATCTGTCCATTCCCAGTGACTGGAAATACTAGACCTCCTGCCTGGTGCAGATATAACACTGGTCCAACCAAAACCCAGAGACAGACACCCAGAGAAGTACTCCTGTAAATCATCATTTTCCTACAGTAGAAAATCTCAGAAAAGTAACACAAGACATTCCTTTACTCATCTGAGGATATTAAAATCAAGATTTGCCCACCAGCTTTCCCTGTGAAATTGGAACTCTCCACCTTCCAACCCCCTACTTTATAAAGGATGCACAGCAGAGACAAAGAGAAGGACTGTATGACTTGCCCTAGTCAGTGGGAAGCCAGGATCAGAAAACCAAAGATTTCAGTCCACCAGCACTTGCTTTTATTGCTGGCACAACATCATCTTGAGAATCATAATCTTTTTTCTTCTTATAGGGAACCCATGGAGAAAATACCAACACAAAGACTAACAGAAATAATTAGAGGGCATTTCCGTGCCATAATGTGCAATTCCCACTTTGCTCCAGAGCATGTTCTTGGCTATAGTAACTCTAGGCATCATAGCAATCCAGTTATTCAATACCATCACTGCCTTGAAAGGAAAGACTCTAACGTTAGTCTTTATGTAAGACAACGGGCTTCCTTTTCCTTCAGCCCTGCACAAAATTTTCAATGGATGAAGCAAAACATCAAGTATCCTCAAGAACAGAGCAAGTAAGGAGCAAAGCCAGAAGCGCCCTTCTCCCACCTCATCATCCTTCCAACTGCAACGGGTAGATAGGACTGGACTTCTGAAAGACCTACTTTGTTGTCCTCCCTGGCCAGACATGGAATGAGATTGCAGCATTTCAGATCTGCTCAAAAGGGCAAGCTCCAATAGGTAAAACTAGAAGTTGTTAATCACCAAAATTGCCCATATTTCCCATGGAAAACCCAGCACCACGCTTTTAGTCACGCAAGAACAACTGAATAGACAATACCTGAGCTTTCACACTGCCTTCTTAGACAGGAAAAGAAGCAAGGATTCAAACCAGGCACACAAGCAGTTAATGGGATTATCCAGACACAGACTGATCTCACAGGACCCAGCAGGCCATGAACATATCATATCATGCAAAAGACCCCTCTCCCATCACAGGGTTAACACGTGCCAGGCTGTTAAGAGTACAGCAACAGCCTTTCCCATTTTAGGAACTAAATTAAACACATATCGAAATGCTGCTCCCCATACCAGTACCTGCTCATCTTTTTCCTCAGCCTGGCGAACAGTTTAGTTTTCTTTCTGTTGAGGATGGCACGCAAATCATTTCAGTTACAGGGTGGCACAGTCAAATCAGAGAGGAAAAGTTAAGCTTTCAAGCACACATTCATTTGGTGACACAGATCTCACTGAAATCAAGACGACGAGATCTCCTCTCTCTCTATCACACACACACGGGGACACACAGAAACATGTACACACTTCCTTTGGTTCATAGAAAGCTATGGCCTGGTTTGGAGAGGGTAGGAGAGGGCTTTTTGTGCCTTTCAAAGATCTACATACATGTGAGCAAACTAGTGCTTTCCCTGGGGCCAGAGTGCACATGGAGAAGAAAAATGAAAGTGTATAGACACCAGTAGAGACCTGTAAATGTCTTTTTTTCACAGGTAATAACAGGTCTACACTCTATCCTGTAAACGTTACACAAGAAACAAGCTCCCCAAATTCTCCTTTACTTACACAATCTGTGCACAGTCTTATATATGGAACCTAATTAGTAACTTTCCTATGTCTTTTTTTTTCAGTCTGTCCCATCATACTAGGATAATACTAGAGATCTCCTAGGTCTTCCAGGCATCTGAGCCTGAATGTTTAAACTCCTTCAGAAACAAATCCCAAACATATGTCTGAGGTTTCCACTAATTCATCAGCTGCTCTGTGCTACTGTGCTACACAGACAGCATAAGATTTATCACCCACAGTAATGTTTCTGTAGGGCTCCACATGAATGCCATAATGATGTGCTTGCATAATTGCCTCTCTTCTCACAACTCCTCATTCATTTCCTGCTATTGTATCAATCTCCAATCCCCTTCCCAGTAGAAAAGGGTTAGGGAAGCATCTGCTCTTACTGCAGACCACAATAAGCAATCAGATCAGTGAAGGCTATTTCCTCCTGCACACTCTTGCTCCAGCCCTGCACTACAGTGAGAGGCCAGACATGCAGGAGAGACAGAAATGCCTCTTAGTATTTCCTGGTCACTGCAAAACATATTTACTATGCTGGCAAACCTACATCCTCCTGTAACAACCTGCTTCACTGTGCTCATGAGGAAGAGAGTTGCTCTGGGGCAGGTCTGGCATCTCAGCCAAGATGCAGGATGTAAGTAATGAAGCAGCAGCACTCAGACTGCTGCCCACATAGGGATCTCTCTGTGCACATTCATTTTCTGTTTTTAGGGCCCTGTGGTCTCATAGACAGGCAAAGATCACAGAACTGCAGCTGAGATATCTATTACAGCCTCAGATGAACTAGCAGTTTGTGGGGGCAGGGATCATTATGACAGGTAATTTATTCATTGGGAACATTTTCAGGCCACAAACTTCATGCTACAACAACAATGAAAATGCCTAGGACAGGCTGTCACTATACCCTACAATCACTTCCTGGAGGAAGAGAAGAAAAAGCTGGACAAAGCAATGGCTACAGCCTTCAACTGTCCTGTTACTCATCCTCTTCCAAAAGACCCTGGAGGATGCTGCTGTCAGAGACAATGTAAATGGCAGCAAGAGGATGGGCTTCAGTCTTGCTGGGTTGTGATGACCAGAGACCACAAGCTAACTTGGGAAGAAGATATTATTTTCACAAGAAGCATTTCTACTAGGATCTTGAAAATTTGGCATTAGCAATCCAAAATTCAGGAGCCAAATTCAACTCAAACATCCTCTTCCTTTAGAGCTGACAAACACCACATACACTGCTGGAATAAGACATGTAAGCTATCTATGCATGAATGCAATAGGAGGTTCAACTGGGAGGAGAGACAAGGGACCACAGAGGTCTCAACAACTGATCTAGCCCTTCCAAATCAATGCACTCATACCACAGCCTGCCCTTACTTCATGCTGACTACACCTCCTCCCTCTGTCAATACACCAGTTGAGGACCTGGGCTGTGCTCCTGCTCACCCGGCATGTGGGATTAGCAGCAGCTGGAAGCCAGAGCCCAACACTGTTTCATCACTCACACATCCTGGATAGAAGCCAGACAGCCTCATCCAGAGCCCGACCTCTCCCTCCCCTCTCAGTGCTAGAGAATGTGCAGACTTGCACTTAACCATACAGGAATGAACCCAGCTGAGGAAGGAAAACTTGAGGCCTGGAGCACACTCACTCCTTGCATACCTGCAGATTGGAAGTGCTCTGAGATCAAGAGACCTCATGTTAGTGAGGCTGCAACTAATTCCACAACACACACAGAGGAAATGCACCTCAGCTGGGTACACGAGGGGCTTGGTATTAAGATGGTTCCAAGTTTGGAGGTCCAAAGAGGAGGCTAGGGAAACAAATGGGCTCTTGGTGGTCAAGCTCACGAGTTGCAGGTACATGGTGGAAGCTTTTGAGTGACAGGTGCTGAGCAACTGGACCCCGAAGGAAGGACAGCTCAGTATTACATGTCAGTGCATGGAATTCAACTTTAGAAAAGCAGAGCTGAGTGTCATTTGTCTAAATATCAGCACCTAGTGAAAGTTTAGGTCTCCAGATGTTATTCTAGAAAAGCAAGAGGTATTGCATTGTCACTCAGCCCCACGTGCAATCTTCGACATGCTCTAGGCAGTCTCAAGAGGGCAATGGCTGGCTATATGCAGGTAGTCAAATCATTCCACAGCTGACAACATGGAGGTTTCAATACAACTGGTAGCGAATTGCCTGTCCCTCCACCCTTGCTGAAGGAAAGATACTAATCCCACAGTTACTAACCTGGGCTGTGCTTTAACTGGGAAGGCATTGCCTGAGTACTGCTTGTCTAGACCCAACAGGACATCATGAAGGTTTTGGTTCAACTGCAAAATACAAAAACAAAAGAAAAAAAAAAAACAATGAGAAAAGAGCCCAAGTGCCAGAAGAGAGTCCAGGCTGGCCTGCACAGGCTGACCAAACACAGGCTTCTTCTGCCTGTACATGTGCACATACTCGGCTATCCCAAGAGACGACAGCCCTACATCTGTTTCCACTGCTCCCAATGTGGTTCAAAACACTAGAGCACTCGAACTGTTGAGGAGCTGCTGGCAACTCATGCAAATGCTTTATCTCCTTTACACATCACCCTCTTTGCTTCTCCCTCATCTTCTCCCACCAGTGTGCTACCAGATACCATTGCAGACCCAGGCAGAGCATTTAATCTATGGGTCTGTGTGGTAGAACTGAAGCTTCACTCTGGAGTTGTGGCCAAAGCTGTTTCTCAGATCTGCATATCAAAGCTTGGGATATGGTAATTTCAGCTTTGGAGCCAAAGGCAGCTGGATTTCCAGGCAACAAAAAGCCTTGACTTCACAGGCTGCCTGGGCCATTTAGGTTTGGGCAGGACCTGGGTATCTTTGCAGAAATGCAATAATAGGAGTTAAACTCTCTGGACCAAAGGCTGCAACATTCCCTCCAGACACTCCTATTCTGAAACAGACAATTCATAAACAAGATGACATGTCAGATTTATCACTGGTAGGAGGGATCCAATGCAATCAATGTTGGATACATCATGCCAGCAACACCAGCAGTTAAAGAGATGCTATAGCAGTAACAAGAAACAGATGCCTCTTATGGAACACAGCGAAAGCCCTGCTCTCATACAAAACTCGGCAGGAAAGAAAAATCCAAGACATGATACAAGAAGAGAATTCCTGTCTAACAAGCATCTTTCCTATGTTTTGCTGAATATAAGTCAACAGCAACAAACTAACAATTATAACAACCCCCCCTTTTCTGAATCAGCTCATCCCTAAGTGGGGAAGAGCAGGCTATTTACTGGAAAGGTCTCCATGAAATGTCATCAGGGCTCAAAATTAATGCATTACATCAAGGCAGAGGGCCCCTGACTGCTGGAAATTGAAGGACTATAACATTGCTTGTTGCTTAGCAGCTGCCTTGTTGTCAGGATGACACTGGGAGGGAATAGAAGAGTTTTCCAACTGGGCTTTCAGTCACTGATTAAGATCAGTGCAATGTTTACAGAGGGTGTGCAACTCTTAGGAGCAGTGTACGGACCCAAGGAAATCAAGACTTCTCTAGCTTTCAAGTGAAGGAGCAGGAACATATTTGTAAATGAAAGTGGCAATGGGGAGTCTTCCCACAGACTGTTTCTGAGGTTTCTGATGGGTGCTCCACACAGCACCAGGATCCAGGCAGAGCACTGCTTAGTCCTGTGATTCCCAACTCATGGCCAACTGGTAGTCCATGCAAGGGTCATGCTAAGCACTCAAATGTCTTCTTTTGGGTCACAGGGAAGGAAGGAAGCCAAAGCACAAAGGTACTGCTGGGAAGTGCCCTCTTGAGGGACCAGAGTGAGGCAGGTCTCAATCTGCACTCAGTCTTCAGCTGACTTGCAGTTTGGCAGATTTCCTGCTGTTGTCATCCCCACAGCTAGATAAGGATTCACAGCAACTTGCTGCCAAGCAGCAGAGGAGATAGCAAATAGATACCAGGCTGAGAATGCCCAGGTTATGTGTTACAAATCCATAACGTAGATGAACTAAAATAAGGGAGCATGGGATAGGCCAGAAAGTGGCTCCTCTTCCCTCTGTGGATCTGCAAATGAGCCCTCTAAAGTGACACAAAATCTCCACTGCTGCATGGCCCTGTGATCTCTTCCCTGTGCTCAATCCTTTTACATTAGTATCTCAAGACAGCCTTTCTTCCAAATGGCTCAGAAAAAAAGAAAGGGTTAATATTTTCCTCTGACATAGGGCAAAATACTCTGTTTTCTCCAGCTTTTTTTTTTTTTTTCCAGGTATGTTTGGGGTATTTTTTTATTTTATTTCTTTTTTGCTGTTGTTTTGTTTGTTTGGGGGGGGTTGTTTGGGGGTTTTAAATAATAGTGAAGAGAGGGTGTATTTGTAGGAGAATCTGTTAGTTGCCTTACCTTGCTCATTTCTTTATGGAAGTTCTCTTCTAGGCCTGCTATACTCTGGAATGTGTTGACATAGAAACCAACACGGCTGCCAAATGAAAAATGAGACAGAAGAACTTAATGGACACAATGCTCTCCCCAGAACTTTCAATTCTCCCTCTTTGGTTGCCTCTCACCCACCACTCCCATTCAAACTCAACTCTGTCAGGTCTGCTACATGCTGGAATAGAAGGGCAGCAGAGAAGCATGAAGGGGATGATGGAGCAAAGGCCAGATATAGGGCACACACATCCAGGGTGAGGAAGAGGCCAGCTGGGACAGAATTTTGATTTGTGCTGGCTGGGGGGTAGAAGCAAGGGGGGATTGGGAAGAGAGAGGCAGTAGTAAGGTGAGGTAAAGGGAAAGGATAGAGACTGTGACTCAGATGGAGTGTGGGGATTGCTGGGCGAATTGGCAGGAGGACAGATACTAATTCACTCCAAAGTCCCTCAGCACCAGAGGAAGAAAAAAGCATTAACTGTTTGCTTCAGGGGCAGAAGAGTAAGAAAGCACAGGATATGCACAGAGAGCAACACGAAAGCAGAAGGATCAGCTGCATAGCAGGAGTCTATGAACAATCTGTGGCATCTTAAAATCTCAGCAGCTGCCTGACACCCTGCTTCTTCTAGCCATCCTGCCAGCTGCCAACAGTTCTGTACCAGCACACAGCTGGAGAAGCAACAGCATGAGGGAGATGCTCTCTAAGGCCAGAGGTATCACTGTTCTGCACATAGAACAGGTGCCTGTATCCCTCCCAGCTCCTTCCTCAGCCAGGCCTGCACACTGCTTTGAGTAAAGAGTCCTGACCCAGGCTGGGAGGAAAGGGGAGTGAAGGCAGACATCTGCACTTTGCTTTCCTGTCCTGCTGCCACCCTCTCTCTCCATTCCCCACAGACCAGCACTGCCAACCCAGGTGTTATCACTCCATTTAAAAATAAGAAACCCAGACAGTCATAGGAGGATTTTGCCTGCTTTCTAATGTGCCCTTCCCATCAGCTTCTGCTGCCCTCCACTTCATCCTCCAAGCTGAATGTTGGTCTGTTTCCTTTTCCTCCCTTTTCATCACCATAATCACTGGTATGGCAAATCTCTAGTCCCTCAAGTCTTCCTAGTTTCTCAGATTATTTTCCTCTGCCCAGGCTATGTTTTGTTAAATAGAGCACAACAGAACATTTATAACCACTAGCTCCTCACTGGGTCGTGTGTCACATAGCCAGAACCACATTCAGCAGCAACAGAAGGTAGCCACACTGGGATCTTTCCCTCACCTTTGTTCACTCAACTGCCCAAACCCAAAAGTGGCATTCAACGCAGAACAACCTGCCCTGTTATCCTCCCCCTTGTGTTAAACCTGCTGCTTCACTGGGTGCTCATGAGCATGCATGGTGAGACACAGTGACCAAAGCATCACCTCTTGGCTCTCTCCAAACCCAGTTACAGTATAAATCCCCCTGACATCTCCCCTATATCAGCCAACTGACATACATACCCAACTCAGCTGCAGATGCACCTTCCAACCAGCCAGCTTCACCCCCAAAATCTTAGTGACCCAGCCTGCTCCTGCTCTGCCTGCTGTCCACAGCAGAAGCTGAGCCACTGCCAGGAAAGTTGGACAGAGTTGGTGCGGCAAAGGTATGAATCAGACAGAGCACAGAAACACAGTTTCACTTTGTGGTAAAGTTAAGATTTTCATGAGGATCATGAGGCACAGAAAGCCCAGGGTGAATCTGGCTAGAATCCTAGGACAGGCTCTCCAAGATGATCAAGAAAACAAGAGCAGACACCCAGCCCAAGCTAAGGAGGACAGTATTACAAGAGTTTGGATAGTCACTTTCTTCCTTCCAGCCCTTAGGAAAACCTTCAGGACTCACCTATTCCATAGTGAAGGCAGCTCCTCCTGCAGATCAACATTCATCTCTTCAAATACCTTCTGAGCCTTTACTAACTCTTCCTCAGCCTTGATAATGAGAAGGGAGATTGTTAGCTCCAAGGCAAACAAGTAGCCTGCAGGGCTGAGACAACTGACTCTCTTGACTTCTTCAGGAGACCAGGCAAAATTCTGGCATGGGGTAATCCCCATCCCAAATTAATCTCCCAGGAGCCAGGGTTGCATCACAGATTATTTGATGCCCCTTCATCTTGCATGTGTTAACTCTCAGGCTTTTTCTCAACAGATTTCCCTGTTTGGACACTCAGAAAGTAATTCAAACATCCACTAATGTGTTTTAAGCTTTATAAATTTCCCTGGCTTCAAAAACTGAATGGAGCTGGTCAGGCATTCCAGCCTTCCAGATGAAGATAATAGTGGTCCCTGCCCCTTGCCAGGTCTCTGAAAAGAGTCGAAATCCATCCCAAATGATGTTGAAGAAGGATCCTCCCTCAAGGGGATGCTCTTTGTTCAGGTAAGGTCACACCAAAGCCCCATCTCTTCTGAGGAAGGGAGGAGGTTTGCATCCTTGGCTGATACAGCTCTCTCACAAAGTTGACTGGAGAAGCAAGAAAGGGTATGCAAAGCATGAGTTGTGCCAGCAGGAGGCCAGGCTGGTGTGCTTGAGCAGCAGGTCTTGGTTTCAGTGGTCCTGCACAAGAGTCATCCCAGGCTGGCTGCTGGTCACCAGCACCAAAGGAAATATGTCTTATACAGGATCTCTTTCCCACATTTGACAGTTTAAATTGCAACTGTTCATTTCACCTAAACAGTGAGAGACCCCAAGAATGATGACAGAATTCTGTTGGGTTTCAAACAAGGATAATCCTGGTTTCTGTTGCTGGCAGCAGAAACCAGCAACAAGCATGCTCTCCTTTCCATATTCGTCCTAGGTGACCTCTTCCTCTTTTCAGTGCCCTGACTTACAACTCAAAGCTTGCTAATTAAAATGTTTATATTCTGTGATTTGCAACAAGACAGGATTTTTCCATAACCCTATGCAGCATGGAAAATACCTGCATGAACAACATGATGACACATCTTTACAGGAAAGTCAGCACAAGGGCCTACTTGTATGTGTGACAAAAGCAGGAGTGCCACGGGACACTGCAAAGAGCACACAAGCCACTGGGGAACCGCAGCTCTCTACAAGCCTGCAGTCTGATTCCCACCCCTTCTATGATATAAAGTCTTACCTTCTTTGTGCCATCTTAATTAAAGAAATTCAGCTTACAGCTCCTTAGTGACAGACATATGCAAAGATAGGATTGATAGGAGAAAGGACTTAAAACTATTTTTCAGTTCAGAGTCCTGTTCCTCCATGTTGCATATGATCCTTACACTCCCCATTTATCTCATGGTTTATGAGCAAGCTGCAGAAGCTCCTACTCTCCAGCTAGCTCCACTTTTCAGAGGGTTGCTCATTGCTGACAAAGGCAAGGCTAAGACTGTACTCAAGATCAGAAGAGAATGTTTCCCCTAGAAAGAGACATAACTGAGAAGTATTCAAGTTAAGCTGACCTTGGGAGGAACAGGAAGGGGGAGAAAGGGCCATAATGCTTCTACCCAGAAAAACCCTGTATTTTGCTGCTACACTCAATGAAAAACCCAGCATTTCAAGAGAGTTTACACAAAACAAAATCCCCTTTTAAACTGAGATACCATGTATGCTGGATCACAGACAATGATCACAAATACTCAATTCTGTCTTAAAATCCCTCTATGAATGAATGTTTCTAATGTAACCATTTAAAAGGAGAAAAAACATGACAGTCCATCCTTTGGCTTTATCTTATTCTAATTTCCAACATAGCAGGGAAATGAGGCACCATTAACTACTGTTAGTTTTTCAGGTACAGTGAATATTAATAACAGTCTTTCCCTCTCTCATTTACCTGTTCAGAAGGTCAAAGAACCTAGAAAGGAACATGTGAATATTGTGACATCCCAAGGCAACAGCGAAATCAGCAACAGGCAACGTTCACTCTAGAGTAGTAGTAGGAATTAGGTTTCACCTCGTGCTCCCATTCCTAGGTACAGCACTGAATTAATTCTTCACTCCTTTGTCAGCCCAAGGATCTTCTCATCAGTGAAATTTATTTTGCTTGGAAGTAGGGGTCCTGACACTGGATAAACATGGCTGCTTCCAGCTGGAGCTGGAAGACAGACATCAACTTGGTCATGAGCCCTGCTACAGGAAAAGCCAGCTCATGCAGTAAGGTGGGGAAAGGGGGAAAGATAAAAGTTTCAGGGCAGAGCCCATTGCTACCATATATGTGCTCTTTCCATTTCAGGCATCATCCTGAGGGAGAACTGAGGCAGAAGGATGTAATACCCAGGTCCATGAAATGTGATCTCAGAAAATTCCTCCTCTCCTCTCCCTGCCTGAAAGGGGGAAGGTTTGAGCAGGAGCTGGACAACATAAATGCTTTCCTGACCTTCCACCTAGCCAAGGCTCAGAGTGCCAAGCGCAACCAGTCCAGTTGTCTTAGGGGGCAATTATTCCACATTGTGTTTCCTATCATTGTGAATCACAACACTCATGAGTGTCTGGCAAGCTCCAGCCTGGTGCTTTCAGGCAACCTAGTGAACATTTCTCTTCACATACTATGCTGCGAACTGTAGTAAGTATGCACAGTTCAGCAAATAGTTTAGTATCTATGAGGCAGAGGTAAGGAGAAGAGGCAGGTGCCTCACCCCAGGCCCAAGCCCCCACCAGTCCCTGCCAGACGTGCCTTTCAGAAGGTTGTCATGGCCCAGGACTCAGCTTGCTGACTTCTTCCTACAGAGATATTGTTCTATTATCACCGCGGCAACAAAGATGTTGGGTTTTAGTCTGCATTCAGCATTTCAGGGAAGCTTAGCAAAAAGGCAAGAATTTGATGTTCTAAGCCATTTTCCCCTTTGTTTCAAAAAGCACAGTCACTAAAATTTGTAATCCAGAGCATGCAATAGGAAACCGCCCCAGGAGACTTTACAGAAAACTCCCACTGTATTGTTTTTGTTAGTATCTGCTAAAGGCCTAAAATGCCAGTGGTTTGCACACTGGAGGGAGGGACTTGGCTTTATAGTAGAAATAACAGGTCTCACTGACCCCATTTTTGCTTGGAGGTTGTAAAATTTTCAGGCAAGAAGAGACAGCAACACAGCTGCTAGTAAGAGGAAGGACTGGTTCTTTTAGGCTTAACATTCTGAAGCTCCTGGATAAATGCAGGGTCATCAGCTCTCCGGCTTAATGAGATTTAGGGTTGTCATTAACACCTGCAGTCTTGAAGTCATTCAAATATAAAACCTGAAGTCTTTTTTTGGAAAACCTACAGGTTCAGGAATCAAACTAATCTTCCTTAGTGAGATTTGGGTTATTTTTGTTACCAATCAAAATAAAAATAATCACAAAAAAAAATACATTAAGAAAAAAGATCCATACAATTAAAAACAAATAATTAAGGATGGCAATAGTACTATTTAGTTCAAGAATGAAGGAGGAAAAGCTTAAAAGAGGACTTAAACTTGATTTGAAAATATCTGGGGTGACTGAAGGTATTAAAGCCATGAAGCAGGAGGTTAACACCCCTGCAACACAGCAGGTCGAAAGATTATATACCCCCTTGCTCTAGGGCAAAGTTGGCCAGTGCAGTGAAATTATCAAATGACTCTCTGTAGCCTGTCAAAGATCAGAGCATAATGGCTGAGGGAGCACTCTTGGGTACTGTTGGGTACTCCAGGCAATCTGTGAGCACTGGTTTTACTCCCAGTCACCCCAACCAGTCTGAGAAGAGGAAAAATGCCCCCATGAGTTGATTTATTTATCTGTGGCTTGAGAAACTTCCCATGCCTGCTTTCTAGTCCTCCAGAAATATCACCAGGCAAACAGAGCTGTCAAGAACCACAACCACGAAGGCTGTTCCCAGAGCCCCAGCTGAGGCACAGGAAAACCCTGCAGCAGCCTGCCAAAAGTCCTTCTCCTTTCAATCAAGAATGAATACATACTTCCTCCCTTTGCTATGCATCTCAAACAGGACTGTTAACAGATGTTCTTTCCCCAGGCTTTATTGATGTGGTAATCTAGTCTTTTCCCTGATCATAAACTGACTGTGAAAAGTCCAGGTGCTTTACAAGGTGAGAGCGATTTAGTGTTTCTAAACCACAATTCATTCACTGACTAGGAATGTGAAAATTCAGTAGCATTTGAATAAGAACAGATGAGCACACCAGGAACTTGTGAGCAGGTAACTGGCACTCTCCCAGTCTCGGTAATGATTTACTCTCCTTTGCCCACTGAAAGCATTTCTTTCTGACTCATCAGCTCCTTCTTATCCCTTAAAGAGCTCCAAGGTAAACACCAAGGGAGATTTCATTAGGAAGCTTCTCCTGTGCTAGCAGACCCTGTAGTCTCTCGGAGCTGCCCTCATGTCCCTCAAGATGCTAGAATCTAAACATTCAGCCAAGTTCTGCCATTTCTCCTATGCAGGTTGAAATTATTTTGTATGTGTGGAAATGGTTCTTTTAGACTATGAAAGCCAGGATTGTGCACATTTTGGAAACTTTGATTTTACCAAAGGATAAAGTTGTAATACAGTCAGAAAACTATGCAGCAGCCATAGAAATTGCTTTGAAGCAATGGATTGTTGTGGTTTGTTGTTGTTGGTTTTTTTTTTCTGGTTTTACTCAACAGCACAAATGCAGAAGCCAACCTTTGGAGGCACTACACTACATCACCCTCTGCTTTAGCATTATGCCATAGCCTTTCTTCATCCACATTTTGGTTTAGCAGGAGAAAACAGCAGTCCAGGATTAACACACCTGGTTAGAAATCAGTAGAGCAGGCACAAATTTATTCATTTGGTCAGCAACTTCCACACGACCACTGTGTGGTCTCAGGAGTATCAAGGCTCAGGAGTATCAAGGACACACTCAGAGAGGACTAGAGTGAACGTTGCCTAGAGATTACTTGCATGGTATATTCTAGAGCCCAAAATAGCGCATGCAGGGTTACAGCCAGGTAGATCAGCAGTCACCTGATTTCGGAGCAGATTAGTTTGCGCAACGAGGTGAGCTTGTAGCTTCCCTTGACACCACTGAGGCGCAGCTTTCTCAAGCAGCGAAACAGGCTGGGGAAGGGAGCATGTTTGAGTGAAAAGAAAAAATAGAGAACAAGAGAGAGACAAACATGTATCTTTTAGGCTGAAAAAAATTAAAGTCACAACAGAGAGTGTATTTAGAGGCTGGGCCAAACCAGTATCACCAAGGCAAGAACAAAAACAAACATCCCAGGACCGATTGGTTATGAATCCTTTGAAGCATGCCAGGTTTAGCAGTAATTAATGCTCCAGTGTGGGCTGGGATATGGAAGACCAGCCAGACAGCTGCAAAGAGCAACAGATACAGTTGTTAGTGTCCTAGCACACAGACAACCCTACTCCAAGTCATGGCGGTGAAGTGGGAGCTCCTTGAAGAGAGGTCAGGATTAATTAACCATTGTCATTATTTGCATGCAACAGCTGAAAGTCCACAGTGCTTTATTTTAATGGCAGGTTGTGAGTTTAGCAATAAGTGGCAGGAGTCCTGGGTGGGAAAAGAACATCCATATATCAGAGAAGAAAAAAAAAAGAGACCATATAGCTCCAAAAGGTATTGGCATTGCTGTTTCTGTTACTATACTATGAAACATTAATCAGATCAGTTCCCGCTTGTATGCTGTGTCATAAACATGATTTCTTTTTCCCACAAACCTGTCATCATATACCAAAGTCCCTTACACTGGAACAACTCTGCTTCAAAGGTCACAAAAGCAAAATCACAGTCACAGAACAGAGAGATAAGCTTCCCCACAAGGGTGAGATCTCGGGCTGGGCTGTGAAACCTGGGAAGAGCATACATAACGTAACTTTCAGACACTCACTGCTCCCATCTTTACAGGATCAGGACAATACACTGTGTCACATAGTATTCCATACATGAGCTTATGGCTTAAAGCACAGAGGTGGAAAGATCTGATCCAATGCACATTTTGGCTAACGAGAAGAGTTCGATCAAGTACTGAGGCTGAATCAGGAACAGAGGATCAACTCTTAAATATCAACATTTCAAACTGCAGTTCTTCATACTTTAACAAAAGAGCAACAAACACTCCCTTGTTATTAATATCTTATGTGAGCATCTGGGGCAATGCAAGTGAATAAAACAATTACGAAGTTGGCCAGCCTCTTGCACTGCAGATCACCAGGTACTAACCTGAGTAGCTTAATTCCTACAAAAAACATTTCCACTGTAGTAAAGATCCCATGGGCACAGACCGATAACAATACCCCAAACACAGTGAAGTGCTTTGAACAGAAGGCACAACCAGCTGGGCCTCATGCCTTGCATACAGAACCAAGACTTGCTTTGCCACATAAATGATACAATGACACCTGAGCCATCAATCTCTTTCCCCTTTGTCTGTCAAGGTTTATCACAGAGTATGCAGTGAGTGAGTGGATGACTGATAACTTGCAGCTTAAAAATAAAAGTACTGTGGCCATTAGATGTATATCTTTTGCTCATGGGAGAGATCCACCTTTACTTCTTATGCAGGAGAAGCACTAGTGTTTCTTACATAGCACATATTTCCTCCTACCAGAAATAACTCAAAGCAAAAAAGTTGGCATTTTTATTCAGCCTGTTCAAAAGATACAGATCCAGGCTCGCTCTTTCTTGCACTGGTTCTAGCCTGAACAGTATTGATATGCCATGGCCCTCATTCAAGAGAATTAAAGATGTCTCTACAGCCCTGGACTGCTCTTGTTGTGCCAAGACCTGTCCTGGGGAACAGAGCACAGTGGACTCAAATCCACGCAGGATATATGAATAATCCACAGCTGATTTTCTGGTCAGGTATTTGACCCATGCATCTCCTGTAGAACAAAGTTAACACTATCACCTTTATTCAGCAACATTTAAAATAAAAATATAGATTTTATTTTCAATGAACTTACTTTAATAAAAAATAAAATATTTTACTTGCATGTTGGGCACGCTCTGTGGTTAACCCTGGATCATGCTGTTCAGACATGAAAGAAATCACACCTTGACAAGAGAAATCTCTTGGTTTTGTGCTTTTAGACATATTTATTATCCAACAATTGTGACCATTTGACAAAAGAGCACAGCCATCAAGTGTGCATAGGGTGCATTTCCACCTATGAACTTGTAACTTACACTGTCCTAGTATATCAGAGGACTTCACAAACACAATCAACCTCAAGCAACACTCAAACACTTACTCTCACCACTGCTCTTAGATGAGGAGACAAATCCACAAGAAGCAGACAAAGAGGAAAATTTGTCAGGGACATCGCAAGGTTTTGCTTCCCCCAGGGGCATATGGGCTTTTCTGACAGAGGTTACTGGTCCTGCAACATCTGACCAAGCATGCCTAGGCCTTGGCCACTGGGAGATGCAGACTGATGATGGCAGGTCTGAACCAATACAACAGAGACCATCCTGACTTCTGGTAGAACTAAACAGATGAGAAGGAAATACCTAGCAAAGTCCTTTCAAACCTAAATGATTCTATGAAAACAGTCAAGAGGTACAGGTGCACTTAAAACCTGCTCAGTAGGCAAATTCAGACCTCCCAAGGTGAAAGGATGGCTGCACATCCTTCTGCTTGCTTTACCTTTGCAATTTTGGTTTCATCCTTCTTCTTTGCAGTTTGCAGGGCTTCAAAGTGGTGTCTAGCACTGTCATAATCCACAAGCTTCCGCCCTCGCTTCGCTATACGAGACTAAAAAGGATAGAGAAAAGAATCGTGACAATCTTCTCCAGCAGCCAAAAACACAAAGCTTCTCAGGAAAACACCCTTTCCCTTCATCCAACTTCCAGAGCACTCCATGCTCTTGCCCATGCAAAGATACTTGCTGGATACTCCACACAGGCTGCACAGAGAGGTGGCCCTGGGGGCCACTGTGGCAGCTACCATCCTAGAGGGAGATCCTCAGGAGGAGAGCAGAGCCAGCCACTGAAAGCAATGGGATCCAGCCAACAGCCGGCCTCACTTCCGGGTGGAAGTAATGTTTTCAGGACTGTAGCTCCACTGCTTCCTAAGACTCCCCATGTGCCTGCATCCTGCGGGCACCTGCTTCATCATTTTCAGGGCCTCCTAAGGACTGCAGACAGACTCTAATTAACCAACTCACAGCCCTGGTTCACATGGGCCTTCAAAAGATTAAGTTCAACAAAAGAAGGCGTTTCTTCTGCCAGCATAGCAAAGGCACTCATCCATGTGCTTAGGATACACCCAGGACAGCATTTTGGATCCTGCAACAGGAGGTCCAGACATAAGTGACTGCAGCCATGAGCAGTGGTTCATTGTAACTTAGCTATTAAGCAAGAGAAGTGCAAGGGGAAATCTGTAGCACTGTGTCACTAATAGGCAAGACGCAATGAAACCTTAACAAGCACAAGGTAGGAGCCGACTGTGTACCAGGCTCGTGTTCAGGAATGGAGTTCTGACAAGTCCATGGGAGTTAGGCCTGTGGCCAGATCCTTCATTAGCCTTCATCTGAGGTGCCTCTGGCTCTCTTCCCCAGCAGTTTCATCTTGGCGAGGCTCAGGCCCACTGTGCTGCCCTGTTTTAAGATCTACCCATTCCCCTTAGACCGTTGCTTCCCACACTTCCTACAAACACCCCTGACTATCTAAGTTGGAGGACAGATCTTCCCAGCCTGATCCTAGCACACCCCAGCTCGAAGAGCCTTGTCCAGCATCAGCAATCAGTAGTCTAGAGACAGGCTGGAGAACTGGAGTGACACGACATGGCAAGGAGCCAGGAGGGGTTTTAGTTAACCACAGCACCCAGGGAAATTGACAGTGCAAGATGAAGAATCAGCATTGGGATTTACTTGTAAAAGCAAAATCCTCTCTCCCTCCACTGCACTTGGCAGGGAGATGTGGTTTCTCTCCCTAGGCTCCTGCAGATAAGCTGCAAAACCACACTCAGGGCTGATCTCTGCCAGACCAGCTGGGACCAGTTCGCACGTCTCCCACACATGCTCCTCTGCACTTACAAGCAAGTGCTGGTGCAGCTCTGTGTGAGTCACAGCAGATCTGCAAGATCTCAGCCACACGCACACCCAAACTGACTTCAAAGCATTCAGTTCACTCTGAGAGAGGAATCACAAAGAAGCTGAGCCACTGCGCAATCAAGGTCCCTAGAAGACACCTCTCAGACATCATGCTGCCAGCCTGGCACTGAGACAGGATGTCAGAGAGGGACAGTCTCCGAGATGGTAGTTAGTGCATTTTACACTCACATTAGATAAAACACATGGTCAGATCTGGGATTTAAGAGATGGAATTTTTCCCTTGGATCAGACTGGTAGAGACAGTTGGAGTTTCGCCCACCTCTGACACAGCAAACAGCCAGTTTCAGGTTTTCCTGCCACCCCACCAGGGAGTTTGATTGAATGTCAGCCATCTCTCAAATAAGGTCACTCCTGCTCTTTTTTGCAGCTCCTAATCGTCTACGCCTCACCCTCGTATTCCTACTAGAGGACGTGGAAACGCTGCATGCAAGTCCTCCTGGAGTAACTGGTCACACTGCCTGTGATGAAAGGAATGGGACAGCCCAGTCCAGGAAGGCTGCAGGGTAGTTTCCATGTATACTCAAGGATAGCTGCAGCCAACTACCACCATCTGATGGTAAAAGCTGAACAACAGAGTCTGCTGCTTTGCAACAAATTCATCTTAACTGGAGCTTCCTTTAAACAAACAAAACAACCAACCATTCACCCACCAGAAAGCACTTCTCTGCCCATCCTTATATTTAAACCTAGTAGAAACAGGGTACCAGTTTCATTGCAAGACAGAAAATAGCCAATCCACAGCTATTCAGAACTTGGGTTATGGTTTATCTTCTCTGGGCTTACTATAGAGACCTGTATTCTTACTGTGTACTCTGCAACCTCAACCAAAAATATTACAGATGATGCAAGAGTCCTGCTCTAAGAAATTACGGATACTGGCTTGCAAAGAAAGGATAAAATACTCTTTGCATTCCCATTTTTCAATAAAGATACTCTTTGTTGACCCCTCCTCACCCAACATTTTAAAATTATTTCCTTTAACTTATAGAAATTCCTTATTAAAGGAATGCTATGTTTTCACATTCCTGCTGTGGATCCCATTGCAATTACAAAAAAAAATTCAAAGGAATTTTTCCAGACACTCAAGTGAAGAAGAATTCAGAATATGTTTGAATTTAACAAAAAAATACACACATTATCTAACTCATCACAGATTTGAATTACTTAGCCATTAACAAAAAACAGGCATTCACAGAACTAAATCAAAATCATCTTTTCTCCATAAATCCTCTTTCAGTATCACAGAATTACAGGAAAAGCAGGAAATTTGCTTCCGTGGAGAAAAACAAACAAGCAAACAAATAAACTACTACCACAACAACAGAAAAACTCTTCAAATATTCTGTTAATCACATAAGAATGGGGTTTCCAACCTCGGGGACTCTAATTCCATACATGAAGCCAAACTACACTTTTATACAGCTGTGGTAACCTTCAACAACAGTACTTAAAAAGAGTTTCTACCAGTTGAAGAAAATCTAAGCCACTTCTTGATTTGAGTACTTCTGACTGCTCTGGGGTAAGGAGGATGATGGATCCAGCTGAATTAGCAATAAAAACATACTGACCTTTTTTTAAGTCCTACCACTGAAAGTCCATTTTAAACAAATAGGCAACTCTCGTGAAATATACCCATACCTTATTGCAGAAACCAAGAGAAAGTCAAATTCTCAATTATTTTAGGAAGCGAAGCAGAGGTGAGTAGTGTTCTCTTTAAAACATTACTTAAATTGTGCATAAAATTGCTTTAACTTCCCATTTTCTAGAGCATCATCTGAAGACTAAGAACATTAGTCATAATATCTTAGTGGCCCATTCAGAAGCCAGAAAGGATCCATAGGAGCTCAGTACCTAACACCTCAAGTTCTGGTGGAATTTGAGTTGCCCCAGCCTTTCACTCCTTTTAAAATCTCACCATAAAGCCTCAGTGGGACCCAAGCAGAAATCCTAAAGATATTTAGCATGGAAAAAAAGTGACACTCTGAGGTGACCTCATGCACAGCTGACAAGGCTGGTAAAACGTGATATAGACTGAAGCAGTGCAGAAGTCTGAGTTTACAGCAAGACTAAAAAGTGAATGAGGCTCTGCACTGCTAATTGAGGAACATGGCATCACACTAGAGGGAGCGATCAGCTCTACAGTCTTGAGCGGGTGGAAAAGCAACAGCAAGCCTCCTTGCCCTTTTCCACTTCAGACTTCCAGGGGCAGAAGAGGCTGGAAAAATGAAGAATGAACAAGGAGTCCCAGAAGGCAGGAACACTGCTGTTCAGGGCTCATTTTACAAGACTGTGACCTGCCCTGCTTTGATACAGCACAGGCCTCCTGAAGCAACAAATATTGACAAATGTTTTAAGAGACATGTGGTGGGGAAAGGGTTGTTTTCACTGGGATGTAGCCAAGCTGATACTTCCCATATGGTGATATCATTACTAGTGTTTCCATATGGTGAAGACATTTCCTGGATAACCTTCTCAAAATGAATGGAGAGAAGAGAACTGTGGATGAAGGGAAGCTCACAGGATATCACTCAAACCCAGGTCAAAAAGATGTCTATCCAGCATTCCCCCCTCCCTGTAAAAAGCTAGTTATGTGCATAGCAAGACTTCGGGGAACACACAGAAATCTGTCTTCCACACCAGCCTCTACTTATAAAGCATACTTGCCACTAATTGCTTACTCCATGCTTTGTGCTTACAAGGAAACTAAAAAAGACCTCAAAAAGAGAGACAGAGCTTTTGAGTTATTGCTGACGCTGCCTTTCAGCACTCTGATACAATAAGGAATTTTACAAATCCTCCTGTTCTGAACTTTCATTTTCTTTTCAGCATCCTTCCCCCAGATTCTTCACACTCATTTTATACCCAAAATGAGAACATAACATATTCATTCACATGACCCAGTGCCATGGAGTTCTTGGCTGTTCTAAAAGGAGAGCTTGCAGCAGCACAGCAGAAACATCCACCTAAAGAAGACGGGGACGCAATAAATTCTGACGAGGTTTCACCTGCTGTGACTCTCTAGATCAAAACATTTAAAGATAAACTTACTTTAATATCAGGAAATTGGCCAAGGTACGTATCCATGGTCAGGAGCGCCTGATCCACCAGCTTCTGATGGAAATCTGTCCAGAGGAGATCATTGTTCTGAAAAGCAAAATTAATAAGATAGTTATTAAGAAAACAACATTTCTATTTTAATTCTTGAGTGCTACAGTCAACAATTTCGGTCCCCCAGAGCTCTTAAGAAATAGCCGTTTGAAAAAACTAAGGACCAGAGAAGTTAGTTGAAAACAGAGGTCATGTCAGAAATGTAGAAACAGAGAAGAAAGCCCAATGATGCTAATTCAGGTGACCTCTCCTAAGGACACAGCATCCTCCATGAACCTTCCTTCTGAAGGCCTGTCTTTTCACCCTAGTGCTAGCTCAAGCCCACACAATGGAAGGCACCATTTTCTGCTTTTCAATACAACAGAGCTTTCTGGAGGATAATGAAAATAACAGAGAGCTAATCTAGCAGTCTTCAATCCTCACATCACTTCCTCCACAGGCCAATGGAGGTCATGTCCAAGGCTTGCACCCTAAACTGTGCAGCTTTAGCCTTCATTTTATCTCAGGCACAGTAACTTCCCATCAACACCTTGTATTAGCTGGAAATCTCCCCCCTCTTCCGTTTTTTCACTGGAACAAAGGTTTGTGGCTAAACCATTTAGGAAAAATCCCCATCTTATATGGGATTTTGTTGTTGTTTGGTTGGGATCTTTTGGTAGGGTGGGTTGTTGGCTGGGGTTTTGTTTTATTTTTTTGGTGTGAGGGTTTTTTTTGGCATAATAACACTTTTCTCCTGCCTGTCTTTACCTGAAAGAGAGAAAAACAACCAGCGTGTGTGTGGGATGGAGGGGGTGTGAGGGATGCAGACCCTCAGAGCAGCTACAGTTCATTCTCAGGACTCATGCTCCCTTTGACATCTCTGACTCAAATTCTCTGAAGGGACAGCCTCTCATGAGGCAACACAGTGGCTCCAGAAGAAACAAGGCCAACAGAGAATGTGAAGCCAAGCCAGCTGAATTACAACTCCATTATTTATTGTAACAGCACTTCCTAATGGAAAGTTTCCATGTTAATGCAAGAATTGACCTGGAAACATTCAGGTTTTGTTTGACTTATCTGCTTTGAAGTCAGTATTTCCTGGGCAAGATGCAGATGTTATTTCAGGTGATATTTTTCTGCAGGGTAAAGCAGGGGAAGGACAGAATCTTTCTCCTGCTCTCCTCTCTGTTCCTTTCCCACTGCTCCAATGCCATAGACAGCTGCAGATGAACCCAGTCCTGCAGCTTCATGGCAGATGGTGCCACAGAGCTGAACTGCCACAGCAGAACAGCTGGGCAAGAGCAGGGGGTGCCTGCCTCCAAATGCACCCACCACACACACGCCAAAGGGGATCCAAGCTGTCACATGACAGCCTGTCCCCTAAGCGCCACAGAAAATACCTGGGCAAGTTGGACAGGCATCACCTCACCAGGGTATGAGAACAGCAGGCTGGGGTGACATGGGGCTCAGCCAAACAAGGTGGCAACTAAAATATGGCAGCTGGTGGTACTGCTGTGAGAGGGAGATTGTTGCAGCTACACAATGGCTGTTCTGACCATGCTTTGGCCATAGATTTAGCTTTCCCTTTCTCCTGCACAGAGCATAAACAATACATCCAGTTGACCCTACTGACTCTCTCTTGGCATCCTGTATCCCTGTTCATCCACTCTAGGGGGAACAAATTACTAATGGGTGTAAGCATACAGCTTTGAATAGCATTCAAGCATCTGGGAACAGTGTCCTACACAGACAAAAATATAGGCCACATACCTTCAGCTTTCCTTTCTTCCCAATGCTGAGCTTATCTTTCCAGCTCTTTTCAAAGTCAAATGCCTGAAAAAATGTGGTGCACAGACACATCTTCCAAAACTCATCTCCACTGACAGACCAAGCCTGGTAATTCCACATCCTGGACACAGTCTTACCTCTGCTATTTTATTCGTGTCATCTCTCCCAGGCCAATCTGGTTCATAAACTTCCTGCAGACACTCTGTCAGCTTCTTGGAGGCCTCATGCATAGCTAGAGAAGAAGAAGGAACCGCTTCAGAAAGAAGGAAATAATGTGTTCCATAGTGTGTTTAACCATCACCCTGAGGAACTGGGACACAAAAGCATTATAACAAATGCTAAGCTCTTCTTTACAGAGTGTCTGACCCTTGATAACACAGAGATGGAAGGTAACCACAGAGAGAAAGGAACCAAGGATGCAGTCACATCAAATCCTTTGTGTTCATCCCCACCTATCATAGTCTATCTGGTAAGAGAGCACCACATGTTCAGCATCAGAGCACAACCCCATTCCACCCATTCCATCCCAGGAGGCCCTGAAGGATTCCGAAAGATCACCCACCTTGACAAGGCTGACCTTTCCTACAACTTACACCTGAGGAAACAGCAGGAAGGGGACAGCTGCAGAAACCTCACTGCATAGATAAGCACTAGAGCAGAAACAATCCTCTGCTACACAGACCTTACCTTTCACAGAAGCCAAGTAAGTTCGGAGGTCCTTCTGCAGCCTCGTGCCTTCAGACTGTGAATATAAGAAGACCATCAGTTATTCTCTCATATAAAGACAGTGTAAGAAGGAGTCAAGCATTAATAAATTAATAGCAGATGGGCTACATATGAGCCCTAAGACCACATGAACATAAATGTTAACAGGGAGACCCACACAGCCCTCTGACTTGGTAAGCCTATAGTGAGTGATCTGCAGGCCTGTTTGACCAACAATAAAGCTGTGATTTGCAATTCCCAGCAGAGCCACCTTCAGTGTTTTGATTTCATACAAGCAACTTCAGACAGTCCTAAGGGCAAAGCAAAGGGCCAGTGTGTCTATGCAACAAATGTAACTGAAGGGAGTTTGCAGGATATAGAAGATTCAATTGATTTATTTTGTACTGGTTTGGGAGCAGTTTAGCTCAACACTGTTTCCTGCCAGACTGCAATCCAAAATCCCAGTGCAAAGTGGGTTCAAGGGACCTGTGATCTGCCCAAACATCACATCTAAACTGTCCTGTACAGCAAGGCTTGCAAATACAGAGCTAATAATCCTTTTCTTTAGTTTCACTGTGGAGGTAGCCTGTCAGCAGCAGATCTCACTCACTAGTAAACAAAGGATTAAACCAGAAGCTGGGCTGAGTTTTGCCACTGTCAGACGACACAGCCAAATACAGTACAAGAACCCAGATAGTAAGAGTCGTAGAGATTTTACACAGCAAAGTTAGTTCAGGCATGCACATGTATATGCTCTCCCCATATGGTTCCTCTCCTGCAATAGGATAAGCATTCTCAGGCTCACCTCCCCTCTACCTTGCCATATGTCATTGACAGTGGTGCAAAGGAGGCAGGGAAATACTCCCAAATCCAGACAGTGACATCATACAAACAGGAATGAAAGGAAGAGAAAAGCAAGGCTTCAGAAGATGACCAACACTACCACAGAGCATGTCTAAGCAACTTAAGGAGCAAACATTGAGGACACCTCTGCAAACAACCTCTGGAGTACGCAAGAAGTACAGAAAAAAAAAAATTGAGAGATAAAGACCTCTTATGAAAAGGTTTCTCTAACCCTGTGGCATCTTACTATATCCTCACTATCCCCCAAATTAGCTGTAAAAACAAGAATGCAGGAAAATGACAACTACACCTCACACCTTCCTCACAGCCTGCTATCATTCCTCCTCCTCTTTTCTAGTTTGTGTCCCATTGGGAAGGGGGCAGTATAATGAATTTTGACAGCTGAAGACAACTCCAGAGACAGAGAGCTCACAGGATGCCTCTGACAGCTGCCTCAAGAGTTACTAGCTTCAAAAGCAGATGCTTCCTATCAGCTCTCCCCAACACCCAGGCACCTCTTGCCTCAACAGAGCTCATGTTGTTGTCCCTTGTGCTGTCAGTGCAGCTGTGCTCTCTAAGCAGAGGCTAAATCTGACCAGCTGTTGAAGTGGCAGTGCTACCATAGCTTTGTGGAAAAATCCATCTGCTTCCAATGCTATGGTCCAATTTGTTTTTCTTGCCTCGAAAGCTCTGGATGAGTTCACATTTGTTCTTTTCCTATTGCCCTCAACAAAGGAAACAAGGGATGGGAAAGGGCTGGCCACTTTTGTAAAAGGAAACCAAACTTCTAGTCTGGAGGCGCATTGGCAACTGATCCAAAAAGAGTACAAGAGGAAAGGAATAATGGCCACATCTGCTGTAAAAAAAACTAGGAGTTCTTAAAACACAGAGCAAACAAATGCAGAGCTTTTTGCTGGCTTAAGGTGAATGTGGAAACCTGGGCAGATGACACTCTCCTAACAGTGCAGTCAGAAACCACCAGGGAAGAAACACTAGAGTAATCAAAGCATACACACAGGGCACCATCAGGGAGGCTAAGCTTACAAGCAGCAGTTCAGTCAAGCAGGTAAGGGAGTTTGCTTGTGCCTAATGCAGGAAGTAAGAAAATCTTCGAGGAAAGCAGTGCTGTGTGCCTAGAATTGATCCATGGTAGAAATCACAGACTGGAACTAACAAGAAATGTCAGAAAACAACAGAAAACGGCAACTGCTTTCTCTCTGTGCATGCAGCACCTGCTTTCTTTGAGCAGACTCTAACAAGCTCTCAAGTACAGCCACAATTCTGCATAACCACCTCTCACAGTGCAGTTAGATTCAGTCAAATACTGTATAGTAGGACAGCTTTCAACACCCTTGAGTACACATTTAAGTGATGCTTCCTAAACTCAAAGGTAAAAAGTAGAAAAGAAAGTTGAATCGGAATCTGCATAATTAATCCACTTCCTAGTTCTTGTAGAGTTTAAGAGTGTGCAGAAGGAAGTTACAGAGGTATGGTTGAGTGTAAAGATCTAATAGCACAGAAACTTTTAAACTGCAAGAACATAAAGAAGAAATTGAGTGTGTGTGTGTGTTTGTATCAAAGTAACAAAACTCCACAAAAAGAAAGTAAAAATAGGACAAAAAAAGGAAGATCAGTGCTGATTCCAAATCCCAGATTAAGTTCTCATTCCTGCACTAATAAACTGACTTAAAACTTTCACACAGGAACAATCATACTGTGTCTTGATGTAAAAATGACCTCAATAAGTTAATTAAACACACAAGTGTCATCTTGTTTGAGCAGATATTGCTATGCTTGCAATCACAGTGTAATTCAACCCTGTGAGCCTATAATACAACCAGGTATAATATGAAGGTCAGTATGCACATGAAGATGCATATTTAAAAATAAAAGTGCCATGCTTGGGAGGCTGGAAGAGCTCTCTCTAAAGACCTAATGAACCAGCTATTACTTATAGCTCTATGAAAGAAAAATACAAAAGTGGTTTGGTATCTTTTCGTGCTTTCTTGTTGGGGGGGGGCTAAAATTCTTTCATCCTAATATTAGACTGCAACCCCTTCTTTACACAACCTCCCTGGTTTTGTAGTCCTTTGTAGAAGGATTTTTATTATCAGGAGGGATGTTTTACACCTGAGAGGGGCAGAAACAGGTAAGTCTCCAGTCAGCACAATGTCAGAGTTATCAAGACACAAAGTGTGAACAACGGGTGAGAAGTTCCCATCCTGGAGTACCAGGCAAACTATTAAACTTGTTTTGCTATATAGGACTGCAACGAAACTGCTGGGGTAAGGGTTCTTGTCTATAAAGAAAGTCACTCTCTGAGCTACTGACTGTAACTGTCCATGGCCAAACCTACATTGCAAGAGCAAAGATAAAGTTCACACTACCTGCCCTGTAGGCTGAGGCTGTGCTGAACACTGTGAGGGAGAGGCAGAGATGGTCCAGCCCATGCCAGCAGCAGCTTGCATCTCATGCATCTCATGTGAAACACTGTAAACCAAGCCAGAACTTCCACACGTAAGTGTGACAGCTCATGAACGGTATCAGAACCCAGCTGCTCTGTCAGGCTGAAACTCAACACAGTGCCAGGTGTAAGGGCTGCCACCACTCTCCCACTCCCTGTCTCTCCAGTGAATATTTCAAATGCAGGGGAAGAGAAGCCCAAGCCTAACACACCTCATGCAAGGGGCTGTGTTGCAGCTGTGCTCCCAGGTCCATAAGGACAACTTCCAGGAAAAGTTTTTGTGCAGATGCCTGAACACAAGTGACACTGGGAAAGGGAAGGAGGGGAGAAGCCTCCACATGAACTTTTTGGGAGGTTAATTGTGAAAGAGAATCTGTCATGAGGGAGTAATATGGGGCCCAGTTGTGCTGTTTGTCAAGACTTCAAGAGACACGGGTGAGCCCTATAGCCCTGCAGAAGCATGGTTATGTCCAGCTCATTTGCCACACAAGAAATTCATCTGTCTGAGCTAAAAACCTCCTACCATTCAGAGCCATCAGAGTGGTGCTCTTACATGAACCTGAATGGATAGAGGTGGGAAGCACAATGCTTTCCCTTACGTCAACTCAACCACCATGGAGGAGAACCACACGGTGTCTTATTTGAAAACAAATAAGTGATTTTTAGACCTACTCTCCATTCATTGACAGCCCACACATGGAAACATGTATTGAAGCGGTCCCAACGTAGCCATTAGTCAGAGAAGCCTCAAATCAGGACTGAACAAGGCCACTGCCTGGTCGCACCACAGACAGTTCCACAGGAGAGCTGCTCTGTCTGAAGGCTGCAGCAACAGATTAGCTTTCCTCCAGGCTTCCATTTCCCACAGGAGCAGACTTTACAAGGAAAGGCCATAGAAATTTCATACATAGCTATACTACACACACACAAAACCAAAAACAAGTGTGTATATATTGGCATATAGCTGATTCCCCCCCCCCCCAGTCTGCTTGTCATCATAACAAATCCTCAGTCCTGGATATCCTAATGATCCAGCTATCTCACATTTATGATTTGCCCTGTAGAACAGGTATTGTTCACATTAATTTTAGGAACAGGGAAACTGAGGGTCAGAGCAAAACCAACAGACCCCAAGCAGCAAATGCAGAGCAGCCTCCAGCTCCTTTGATAAATTATATGGAGAATATAGTTCATGGCCTGCCCCTGCAAGATGAGAGAAGAAATTAAGCTGCAAGGGGTAAAAAGGTAAAGCTTCTTTTGCAGGCTTGTTGGTGCACCACTAGAATTCACAGCTTTGGAAACTGAAAAGCTATCCCAGACAGCCAGATCAAGAAGTTTGGATTTTTAGCTTTTCAGTGTTTCTCCCTTAAAAAGGTCATTTCCCTATTGTCAACACTTAAAAATTATACAGAAAAGTCACACCTAGTAATGTCATGTCATCAGAAACAAGCCAAACTGTATTCCTCTGTGTACAAGACAGTATCACTGGTGGACGGGCTACAGAGATGTTGCGTGAACTTCTGGAGGAACAGCTATTACTGCTGCCAAGAGAACGAGCACTAGTCTCCAGGAATCTGCAGTCAGCTCTGGTTAGACATAAGTCAGACTGAAAGATTTTCATTATATTCAGCTGTGGCAAATCCCTTCTCAGCTGGTTTTGTGACACATAACCACATCTGCTGAGTCTTAACTGACATGATACAGCTGCTGCTAACAGCTCAGAATGAAGTCCTAAATATGCAAAGGGGCAAAAAGGAGCTAAAAGATTTCTTCAGCACTAACAGGGCTTTGGTGTGGCACACATTTCCTGCCATAAAACAGAAGCAACACTTCCCCTAACACCAAGCACGAAGGTGCAAATCCCTTGAGGTAACTGATGTTCCCCCCTCTCTGGGGGGCTGAAAGCTCCAGATTAAAAATAAACAAATAACTAAAAACCAACAAAACACACACAGTTCAAGATACAAACCTACTGCTGGTTCAGTAGGAGGGTGGGGGGAAATTGCTACACTGTTAAAGTATTTTTGTATGCTAAATACAGGGTCGAAGCAGACATGCCAAAGAATAATGACTCAGGCCTGACAGTGATTGTGCAAGGATGGTGGGGAAGTCAGATTTAGATCTTAGCCATGGAAGGATGTCCCTTTTCACCATTTGCTTACTTTGCCTCTTTTGCCCTCCACTGCAGGTAGGAAACCAAAACTGCCTTGTTCCATTTTAATTTTTATTTTTAATCTCTTTCCCATCCTATCCATCCTTCAGAGACATGGTGTTGCTCTTATATCTCACTTTCAGCCCAGCAGGAAAAATTACATTACAAAGCATCTGCTAACTGAAGGAAGTGCTCTGGGTGAGCTATTTCTTTTCCTAAACTTGAGTCTAGAGCAAGCATTATTTTTCAGCATACAGTATCACTGACTCCATGACAGGGACACTGGAAGACACAGCATAACTTCTCATAAGTGAACAACTATGAGTTGTGGGTCACTTCAACAGGCCTAAGGCATCATTCAATTTAATGGGCTTTAATTGCATATTGCAGCAGATGACTAGAAGATAATACTGAAGCCCAGGGTGTAATTACACATAGCTAATTATCTTACCAGCTGTTTATTGAAGTTCTGCACGCACTGTTCAAACTGCTCATCTTTTGTTTCATCTGCTTTCCCAAGCTTCTGAAGGACCTGCAGAAGAGAGGAGAAAGGAGACTTCAAACATAGATCTAGCAAAGCAGAGATTAAAAAAAACACCTTGGCAAGCTTTTGCTCACCAGACTGGAAGAAGTTAAAAAGTATCCCTTATTCCACACTCAGAATTTCTGAAATATTTCTCCACACAGTCATAGCTGGGAAAATGACTTACAGGCGAATAAGGATGAACTCAGATCTCTTCTTCTTTGCTGCACCAAAGAGTATCACCGATGTTTGTCCTTCACTAGTCTAATGCTTTTTGCAGGCAAGGCAATAGCAACCCAAGTTGTTCATCTCCTGGACCAGCAAGAAACAAACCATATCACTATGCCCTTTGTTGTGTGGTTACACTTATCCTGATTTAACACTAGTTTCTGGTCCAGATAGGGTGGGGTTTTTTGCTCCCAGAACAGCTGGACTGTCCTCAAAACCAGAAAGCCAGGCAAGAGACCTCCTTAGATAAAGAAGGTGGCTGGAGCAGTGCAAGCCCAACCTTCTTTTCACCTTTTCTCACTGTGCACATGCTTGGCAGGAGCTGGCTGTTGAGAGCAACAAAGGACCTTACACCATGCATCTACGTGACAGAGTCTAAGTGTCATGTTTGAGAGTGTCAGCAACCAGTCCTGTTTCTCTCACCACCTCCCTGCACAGCACAGCTCCCCAAAGACTGCAATAAAGTCCTTATCAGACTACTTCCCTTATCATCCTCCTCTCTTAATGACCTCTTCATGCAGTTAAGTGGATTGCTCCCAGGCTTTGAACAAAGAAGCATCTCATTTTCTGGGAAGCAAAATTAAATGTGTCCCATCACCAGAAGGCTGGCCAAACTGCAGCTGTGGAGGGGGGCTGCAGTTATTTGTCAAGTCCCAGGCAACTCCAGCAGCAGGAAGACAAGGATGTAAACTACAGCTGGTTAAGCTCAATTACAACATCTTTGTTATTCAAAAATAAAACCTGACTACACCAAAGAAAAAAAATAATTGGAACTATTACATATATTGGAACTAAGCCAATTATTTAGTCCAACTGCCAATACATCTACTGGTCCACTTTCACCTTTTTACACTGCCAAGGTGGAGGACATTTGTATTATGTCTGTTTGGCTAATCTCGGTTCTCTTTTCCACTATTAAGCACAGATATCCCCAGCTCACCCATGACCACCATAACTGACTCTAGTGCTAGGCACTATAAATCAGTACAGTCATTCAGCACCCAACTCACAAGTCCCCTTATTTAGGCTGGGATTTAATGTCTAGGAGGAAACCACCGTTTTTCATTCTCCTGGTCAACAGTCTCTCTTCACCTCCAGGAATCACTAAGGTATTCAAAATGTTAGTAAAAGGAGGGAAAAGGACACATGCAGATGCAGACTGCACTCTGCCAGCAAGGGCTGTACCAAAAACCTCCAGTTAGAAGCACAAATTCCTACAGCTCAAGTGACAGCAACAAATACTGCAGCTACAGGCACCTAACTTGGTTGTCTATGCAGCAGGGCATAGACAGCATGAATATTCCCTTCTTCCTCTCAAACCCTTGGCACGTAAGAGCTTGTTGGAGAGCAGAAGAAGCAACACTGTTTGGACAGGCAGAGTCCTGTACACCAGCCACTGGTACCTCCTTTGCTCCTCTGCTCCAGTGAAGGGGAATGCATGCCACAGCAACAGTGTTGTTGAGGCTGCACATCGCATGCCAGCAGGAGAGAAGCATTCAGTATGGCCTCATCTTCCTCGTCTGATGGTGAACCTCTTCCAGAAAGGACACTGCTAAAAGGCCCTGTATTCAGCTGTACTCCCGTAAGCTACCAGATCTATTGAGCATGGGTTTCCCACCTGCTGGGTGACTTCCTAGATGTCCAAAGAGCCATCACTGATAATGATAAAGTATGCAAGCTGCAAATTCCAAAGCAGAGATATGTTCCCAGTGTGCAAATCAACAGAATTATTAGGGATATAAAGGAGCTTTCTATGGGGCAATGCATGTCTGTCTAGCCAAGAGACTGATGCTTTCAGGCCTGGAGGGGAGGGAAGGAGACCATTTAACTGTGAGTAATCCGAAGTATGTCGCTGAGGTCAAAGGTTCAGAACAGCCCCAGTGCTTCCTGGTATAAAACACTGAACAGCACCCACAAGCTATTCATTGTGGCAGCCACATGCCTGCTTTCCACATGTCCAAGATATCTGCAGTTCCACTGCGCCTTGGAGGGGCACACACACTGAGTCTGGGGTCACCCAGCCAGCTGGGAAGATCTTGTTCCACTATGCCGAGGCACTACAACACAGCGGAGAGACAACAGCCCTAGGCTGCAGCAGGGCAGAGGTCATCTCATACCGTTCTCCCTCAAAACCAGATCTGCCCCACGCAAACAGCCCAGGGGTCAAACCCCAAGTCATTTGAGCAGCATAAAACAATGGCTCCACAAGACTGGCGCTCAAGCCTGCCCTCAGCTCTCCCATCAAAGACCCATCAGGCAAACCGTACTACCAAATCCCTCTGGACCCCCCTAACCCAGCCAGGGTTGGAGCAGCTGGCCCTGGGTGTGCTGCTGACTGTGGACATGTCTGTGCTCACTGCTAATAACCGGTGAGCTCACAGGACAACTCCCCTCCCCAGGCTGGTACGTGCCGTCATAGGTCAGGCTATTCCGGGTGAGTCAAGGCTGCTCCCTCCCTCCCCTGTGACAGCCTTTAATCCTCCAACTCACTGCAAAGCCAGATCAAGTTCAGATGGAAACTTCAGGCTCTTTGATAGCTATTAATGGAGCAGATTTACCAGGGTAGGAGTCAGGAACCAGCCACAGCTCCCAAATCCAGTGCGGATCAAAGACTGTGTGACCTGTCAGCTGCTGTCTGGATGCAAACCACACCAGGCACCAGACATGGATCTGGCATTTAAAAGATTAAGCAACCATGGCTATGCTCCTTGGTCTGCCCTTGACCTGAGAAGTCCTGGCCCTGCATAAGGATAGCAACCATTTCAAGATGGTGCAAGCTAGGATGAAGGAGAGAATACTTTGCATGACTCCCACAAAACATCCTGTGGGATGCACTGCTGTGGGTTCCAGTCTTGGTTCACTACAGATTCATTATGACAGGATGGGGTTATCACCCCAACCAATGTTTTTGGCCTCAGTCACTGGACACCATTTCCCAGTGTTGCTCATAAACCAGATCACTTCCAACAGTCCGCTGGATCTGCAGGTGCTCCTTATTTCTCATAAACTAGAGCCACAGGCAACTGATCAGCTACTGCAGCATCTCCAAGCAGAGCCAAATTCCACCCATGGAGCCTCAGTTTTCCCTGCATTTGAATAAAAGCAAGAAGGAATAAAGAGACTGAAGTTTTAAAGGCACTTTAAAGATCCTAGGAGGCAAGATGTAGTAAATTATCACATTCTTCCTCATATCACTGATGTATCTGTAATCTGGTGTGGCAGGCAGAACTATTTGCAGTAAGCTTTTAACTACCGTACTTGGAGAACTGAGATAACAGAAGTGACAAAGAAATCTGGAAATCTAATGTATGAAGATCTGGCATTCTGCTAGCAACCGTCAGAGAAGTAAAGACATGCAATAGCCTGTAATACCAGCAACTTTTCCTAGTAGTATGGAAAGTTTGCTTAGCGAAATCGAAGCTGCATTTTTTTTCTCAAAGACAAGACTATAATATTCACAGGATGACTGAGCATTACTTAAATACCACAGCTTCATAGGACTCAAAAGGGAGCATCTTAACTGGCTGCAGTTTGCCTGCATCTGGAAGAATTTTATCTGGCTCTTTTTTCCAGGTGTACAGGACGAAGCATTCCTGAAGGGCAAACCCCTCCACTGCTTAACACAGGATCTCTGGTGCTCTGCTTTAAACACTAGGAATGAAGGAAACCGAGACCTGCATATCAGCCTTGTGACCACCAAACACTCTGGTGCAGAGCAGCAGTAACCATGAAGGACACTTGCTAGCTATGCAGCAGCAGCTAGTACCAAGAAGCATTATCAGACTAAGTAGAATGCAGCTCTGCTTTGCTTTAAAAAGCAACTGTAACAGATTCACTTTTATACTTTCTAACAGAGAAATATACATCAGCTGCTTAATGCATCCACAGTTCTTATGCAGCACTTTCCCTTGTGCTCTTCGAAAATGTCAGTGCCACAACAGAAGCCCTGAAAAACCCAAATATTCTCTCTCAGCACACCCCATGTGTGACCCATTATGTGAACCATTATGCGAAACAATAACCTAATAAAACACTGCTTTTCATGGCATATGGGTCACCCACGCCAAAGACCAGTTTAGAGAATGCAAGTGATGAGTAGGAAGGCAAAAATAAATGTAGTTTGAGGATCCCAAACAGAACAAAGTCTGCATCTGAAATATCTGAATTTAGGGTGGTCTAGCTCCAGTGAAGAAGCAGGCATTAAGCCCACAGCCAAAGAGCCTGCAGCCCTACAGGTCCACACTCTCCACTGTATCAGAGAAGGGGTTGCAGTTACATCTTTACCGATACAGGCCCAACACTTCTAAATCATTTTATCCCCTGACATCTCCACCCCTCATAAATGACACCTCTGACTTTTGCTGTATCTGCCAACTCCAGTGCAGAATCTCCAACTACCAACTGGGCACAGAGCCAGTAAGCGCTGCGACTAATTTTGAACTGCAACAAATTGGCATGTGCCAATGGGTCAATTAGCAACAGAACAAATAAACCTTTAATCTCAGGCGGCTGCCTGTTCTTCCATGAAAGACATTGTACTTGGAAGAGGGGGAGAAGAAAATAGTGTCCAAGTCAGACAGAAAGCATAAAGCCACGTAACTTAAGGTACAAACAAAGGGAGTTCCATAAGCTTTTTTAAGCCCTGTTACTTCTCTGACCAAATTAAATGTGATTTGCTCAGTGAAGTAGATTTGTGCTCATGAAATAATTTGGGTCTTGCACTCAGAATCAGGGAGAAAAGCAAGAGCAGCAGTGGGAGTCCTGCTCCCTTTCCACCCTCC